CCTCCAGAGCTATGTTTGTTATTGAACCGTTGCCCTTATCCCGTTGTCCCGCTGATTACAGGGTGAGAAATGTAATTAACGCATATAATTCTTATGATAATGCTAAGATAACAGATCGAAAACACAGGTTATCAACATGTAATTGCATCCATTATGCAGTCCTCACAAAGAAAAGGAGCAAACAGTCAAATCTATCCAGCCTACTTACTAACACAAAAAGGATTTATGAAGTAAAGTCTGCAGGCACGAATCTACTCATTTACCTCTGCCTGGAGTGGAGAGTGGTAAAACGAGTTCCTGTTAACACACAAACACAACACGTCTGAATGAGTTTTGGTGTTAAGACTCTACCTCATGGTGTGAGGAGCTTTTTTCATCTAACACCCTTTCACCAAATGTCAATTGGCAAATAAGCCCAGCCCACCCTCAAAGAAGACCCTGATTAGACAACCCATTCTCTTTATACAGGGCGGGAGGCAAGAGGATGCTAAATACGGGCAAATAAAGAATTATAGGCCTTTAAATAGCTGCCATCTCACACAGTTCAAATCACTTAAAATCCTGCCAGCACACAGATGCAGATAGCAGACAAATGCACAAGAAATGTACACAACAACTCTGATTGTCAGCTATCTTATATATGATTAGCTTTTGCCTGAAATACTAGCAATCGCATCTTAAACGAAGACAAACAAGGAGACGATGCATGTGAGCATGTATGCTGTTGTACAAAAGGTCATCACCCGAGACAAGATAGAGACACGAGGAGCTTCTCCGAAACTCTTAAGTGAACAGGCAGGCTTACATCATTGGCTTTTGTCAACGCTCTTTGCTGCAGGCTTTTGCCGCCGCTGTTGTTCCGGTGTGGTCATCAACAATGACATGAATGAGTGACTCTGTGTGTATGCAGGTTGTCTGCAGCTCAACGCTCCCTTGCATCTTGTTTTGCCATCTCAACAGGTCTGAACAACACACCCTACATCGCTAATTCTCTCTCAGTGAGACCAGAAAGAGTGGATCAGTCACAGACTTGAGAAAATCAAGACATCCACAATGCTTGACTGGCAGAGGACAATTCAACACAAATAGCAACCACATGGCATATATCATTCATGACAGCTAACTGACAAATATTTTCTGTTTGTGAGTGTGAAAGTAACTATAGAAACAAAATTATCACTTTCATTTAAAGGGCTTCTTTTTAAGAATTTGCCTCAAACTACTTTTTTAACTGCCTAAAACATTTATTCAGGCTTCAATTCAGCTTCTTGACATGTAATGACCCAATTATCTCCACTCACCATGTCCACATATAACAGCTTGTCACTGAGTTTGACCCCACAGGTGTCCAGAGTGCAAGCTCAAAAACATCAAAAGACATCTTTTATGGCTGTTTTTTATGGTCCACTTATTTTTGCTTGCTCTGTTTAACAGATATATCTCTCTCAGTGCCTAATGAAGATTCTTTTAAGAATTTAGCACATGTCCAGCGACAGGCAAAAGGTCTTTGTGTGGGGCTCTGTTTCCAAGGAAATGACTCATGTCTGCTCTTTTGTTGCAGTTCGCAGCAACTTCACATATTGCTCAGGCTTTTTCCCATTTAGAACCCATCAAATATCTAGCATAACTTTCCAGATGTTGCAAAAAGAATGAGGTTAAAGTTCCAGTAATGTGACAGGTTGCAAGATTTATGCACATTGGACCTTTGCACATTATGAAGTGTGAATTTCTATGCTATGTTTGCACAGATTAGTTGGGGAGTAATGTTTGTTTCATATATGGTGGCTAACATCATCATAAAAAGCTAAACCGTTAGCAGTTCGCTCATCTGGAGCTTTCATGTTAACATGATGCCAAGCAGGAAAGAAATCAACTGTTCTGTAAAGAAGTAACCGTAATATGTGAAAAGTTTCCAAAGTCTTTTTAAAAAAAACAAATTTGAGTCTATTATACGACAGTTGAGATTATTTATATGTGGGAAACATTTAAGACAGATGCCATTTGGTGAATGGACACCCAAACAAGTTCTTCCAAAGGTCACATCATGTAAAGCACAGATAAAAACATCTCATCTTACACAGGCCTCAGCATGTTAAATGTTAGACAACGTGACAGCACAATTACAAAATGACTGAATAAGTCGAACACTGAAGCGATTAAAAGGAATAAAGCCTTTGCACATGTGGCTTAGGCTTGCGCAATACGTTTAGAGAAAACCAGACACAGCATATCAGCACAAACACCTCATACCAAGTGTTGAGCATGGTGGTTGAGCGGTAGTGATAAGGGCTTTTTGTTTTTTCACATGCCCTGAATACCTTTCAGCCACATGAGTCAAACTCCTCTTTGTGTAATGCGTTCTAAGTCAGTGTAAAATTTGAGGTCTTTGGATTTCTGATCTGTCAAAAAGCTGTAGATTGGATCATGCAGTAAGACAATGGTCTCCAGCACAGCAACATGCACTGCTTCATAGGATAATAGCCATACATTATGTTCTCTACTTAATTTTTGTTAAAGATGCAATATCAGGTCCAACATGTTCTTTATTTGTCCTTCGAGAATGACTCCTAAGATCATGTTATTTTTCTTCCTTCTGATAAATAACTTTTTTAAAATGTTTATTTTAATGTAGTCATTTGCTGTCTTTGTCACATCCAGAATGTGTGTGTGTGTGTGTGTGCATGTGTGTGTTTTTTTTGGCACCTACCTATGCACCAGGTGCATTCTCACAACTAATGGGTGTACTAATGAGGGTTGGAGAGAAAACCTGCGCACTCTTTTCTGACATATGGCTGCTCCTCCTGGCTCAAGACGGTAAAGAATAGCCACTGAAACAGACGGAGTGACCTAACCATCAGAAAAAAACAATACCAGTTCAACTCTTTATAGGGTTTAAATGATTTCTCAGATGCAAGCTGCACTGTTCAATCCATGTGCACTGTCTGGGGAGAATACCATCCCCCTCCCACAGCAGCGTCCACTCCTTGAGCTGTGTTCCTGGAGGACTGTAGAGAAGTAATCAATGAGTCATGTGTCCTGATTACAACCAGTTCCCTACGGAGCATCTTCAAAGGGCTCCAGAGGAGATGGAGGGAGAGAGAAGCATTGCCCTCCATGGGGTAATTACAAGTTGAGGCTCTGTGGTTTCTACCCCTTTTCAGTGGACGGTGAGGCTTAAAGACAGACCAGTTAACAATTCATCCAGTCCTGTTAGCGCAGTGGGAGGCACTTCCATCCACTGATCACTGACCAGTAGTGCCTGCCAGCCAAAATTATATAAATCCCCCATCATGCACGCATAGAAAACATTTCCTCCAATAGAGTGTTTACTAGGTGAGAGTAACAGATGAGAGTACTAAGGAAGACAAAAGAGACAACAGCCAGGGAGGGTGACATTCAGGTTTGTTGCAGCTGAGTACACGCCTGTCTATCCCAGGAAAACAAGCCAAGTGTTTGAGAGTTAAAAGGGCCATAAAACTAGACAAACACACTTAAGCACTGTCTGGCTGCCTCCAGGCCCACTGTTTTTCTCCACCACTTCCACCTACATCTTGTCCAACAAATTGTACACACTTTGTTTACTTTGGATGGGCGAAATCGAAGCCACAACTCACAAAAGTGTTTGTTCTGTTACAGTAAAAACATTTGGCAAGTCTTAACAGAGCCAGCAGTGGGAGTTTTTTCTAAGAAGGAACTTGATATATCTATACATTCACAGATTTTCTTTTCAGTCTAAAGACTCTTTGTTTGGACAGCGCAGCAATTTAAAGACAGAGCAGGAATGTCTATCGTGACAGTTTGATTTGTCAGCTCCAAAATGGGGTTATAAGCTCAACATCACTGCAGTCCTTTATCATTTTGGCAGCTGAACATGGTTAATTTGTGTGGAAAGTGATGACTGCAGAGAAATTTAATCAAGAAGAGAAGCGTGGAGACAGAGTGGCTGAAGATGTCTTTAGGTTAAGACTCCTGTAAACCCTGTCTGTGCAGTAACAAACAAAGGCAGAGAGGGGTGATCAAGACAAAACAGTCATTAGCATTAGCTTCCTGTAATGAGGAAGAGTAAGATAAAGAAGTGTGTGTGTTTCCTGGGTTTTGGGTATCTAATTTATCAGGGAATTCCCATGATTAGGTTCAGAAAAAAACAACAAAATAAACAATAGAGTTTAGAGATAATTTATACAAGTTGAGGCCATGAAACCTGTGGACGCTGGATTGTGTGTTAATTAAAGTCTGCAGCAGTAAGTTCCAATGTTTCTATTTATGTCATTCATAAATAATTAAATGTCTGTAAGGGCTTCATGAAAAAGTGCATAGAGGACATTTTGACCACACACACAGTACAACCTTCATGCATCATGGCATTCGATTTCAGCTGGGGGAAATTCTTATCCACTACTCCCCCCGTGTGGACAAAGTGTAACATCAGACCACAGAAGTTTTGGATTGCTTCTGTGAAATCAAAAAGCGTGACTATTTTAGTTTTACAGGCACAAATACAGTTTTACATGTATAAATGAAAGTTAGGAAATCATTACATGATCACAGTATAAACAAAAACCTGTAATTTGTGTAAACTATTTGTTTAACAGATAAATAACTGGAAAAACTATTCTAATTGTCTTCACAGACTTACATTTTAAACTATGATTAATGTGCAAACAAAGAGGGAAAAACCTGATGCCAATTTAACAAAATGTTGTGAGCTAGATGGCTTAATTCTTTTAACATGTAGAGCAAACAATCAGGTAAAAAATTCAGGGAGAATTATGGTATGATTACTGAATAATTGTATGCTATTTTAATAATATTTTTTGGCATACAAACTTTTCTGAAAGTGGGGTTGTGCCATCAAGGTTGAATGTTTTCCTGGGAAGTAAATTATTGCATCAGGACAATACCAGAACTCACCAGGAAACTTCACTGGCTTCATGCACACTGATTATGTGTCTGCAGAACTAGCCAATTAGCAGCCTGGAACGGTCTCCCACTGAGAATGCATGTTGTATTATGAGGAGGCACAAACAATAACGATCAATCACGGGTAAGCAACTGAAATGACAAATTTAGGTCAATTGTGAACAGATTTATCTGAGAATGAAAGATGTCTCCAAGATCAAAGATATTTTTTCTGATCGTGTATGTTGCTTGCATTTATGTAGATGTGTTTGAATTTAATCAGTGAACAGACTGAAAGTCCGTTCTTAAAAAGAAATGTTAAATATGTGGAATCTTTAAACAATATTTTCTCTTCATTGGTGCACTCTTTGTAAACTCGTTTTTGTTTTGCATTTAATCACTGAAATGACTATTCGGACTGTAATTTACTGCAGACCATCAAAAAAAGAAACAATGACAAAAAAAATTCTTGTTAGTACTTGTTTATGCACATTCTATGCCAGCCTCAAAGGTATGTTGTTATACAAGAGTGGGAAATATATTATTTTCCCGCAAAGGGGACAACAACTGACATTTCCTGACAGTCCCTGAAGGTAGCATCACACCCTAATTTTTCCAAACATCCGGGACATTTTGAGCTAACCAGTGTGTGGAAAACTGGGTAAGGGGGACAGTGGACAGCGGTGGAAAGAAAGGCGGACTGATGACAGCTGTCAGTGTGGACAAAAACACCGCTGATCTGTGAAGAAAACCCGAATGGCTCGCCCCTGAATAATCAGGATATAAGGGACAACATCTTGACGGTATTGGGAGCTTTTTCGAAGGTGTCGCGAAGGTAACGTCACAATTTTGGGCAGGGGAATTTGACGGGAGGATCAGTCCCAGTTTGCCCTGTCTGCCTCTCAGGAGAGTCGAGGTTAGCCTCTCAGGCTAACCTAGCTAACTACCATGCTAAATTGGTCAACCAGGCTTCTCTCATAGTGATGGTCTTCGGTATCGGGGTCATTGCCTTCGGAAGGACACGTCCTGACAGTTTTCAGTTTGTTAAGCGTTTGGTTCAGTGGAGGCACAGTGAAGAGCCTAACAGGGAAACTTTTCAATGAGAATTCCAAGAGACAGTAATGCTAGTTAGCCTCAGTTAGCATATCTAAGAGGTGGCTAACCACAGTAACAAATAACAAGTGAATCTAGGTAGCCAGCTCAAACAGGCTATTCGCTGGTCTTACGTTAGTTCTAACTTAGTTAAGCTCGCTTCTGTCTTCATTTCGCAAAATGTAGACGATATAGACGACATAAGTCGGCGTTTTTAGTGCACGGGCAACTTAAATTCTGCGCGCTTGTTTGTTTCATTTTAACAAAGCTGCATGACCATTGTCCCACCCTCAGAACTGAAGTACTTTGGTCAACTGTGTTGCTTTGATCGTGACACAAAAATACCATGGCTTAGATTAATTCTGTTAATCGTTGCTGTGCACTGTCATAGTTCCAACCAGTGCCCTTTGGCCGTAATTGTATTATGTCTAATTCTTGTGTATGCAATTTACATGTCTACATTTAGTGTCCATGTGTTACTTGGATCCTTTGACTCAGCTGGGTCATGAAGGGTTTACTCCTTGTATTTGAACCATCATGCTACAAATTTAAAATTTCTTGGATGGTTCAACACACCATCCTATTTATGTTGTTTCTCAATAAGCTGTTAATGTTTAAAGTAATCTCGCAGAGAAGCCTATGGCCCACCTATAAATTCAAATGAATCATTTGGAATTTATAACCACAAACTAGTCCATGAGGTAGCGGCTGTCCTGCGTGTCACTTAAAAGCTGGTCCTTGTCAGCCACAACTGTTTATCAAAGGCCTTAATGGGGTCCATACGTAAGGGACTGGTTTTGTAGGGAGAGAAGCAAGTGCTAGAGGAATGCAAGTTGAATGTGGTTTGCAGTGGAGGCAGAAAATATGTCTTCTTTAGAAAAACACTCGTTATCCAGATGTGTACTTGTGGCTTACCGTGTAACACTAATGTTTGACTTTGTTTACAAACCTGCTGAAATATTTTTTCTTTGCCTCCTTTTTTTCAGAAAAGGTATTTATTCACAGTCTTGTTTAATTTCCAGCCTGGGATCGAGTTGGTGAAGCTCAAAGTTGCAGTGACAACATGGGGACACAAGGATCTGGAAGAAAGCGCGCTCCTTTGAAAGACAGGTTTTCAGCAGAAGATGAGGCTTTGAGCAGTATCGCTCGGGAGGTATGTTCATTTCCGATACTGAGAGCCGTCTGTGATTAACCTGTGTTATGCTCTCCCTAAACTGCTGCATTTACTCAGTGCTAGATCAATGCATATGTGATTTCACCTCGCTGAGATGTTGTTTCTCCGCATTCTTTAAACTGCGTCAACGGGATTGATCTGTCAGCTCACATTATGATGAAAGCATCACAAGAAGATTACTGAGACCATTATCAGCTCTTATAGGACTGGTCCATGCTCTTCTTAGTTTGAAAAATTGGACCTTTTTATGCCAATGACGCCAATGATGTGTCACACTGGATCTTAAATACATGTAAGCATTTTGATAAGTGGTCTCTGTCACTACTAGAAAAATAATCTCCTCACTACACAACTGTTCAGTTGTGTTTCTGCCTTAATGCGTTAGTTTGTTTGCACCTGGCAATAAATTAAGAAAAGGGCAGATTCACGGTTCAGTTTGTGAGTTTCTTAAAGTAGGCAAGACATGTTGAAAATTAGGCTCCAGGTGAAGAAAAGTCCATTAGCTCTGATGTCTCTTGAGCATTGTTTGCCTCATAGAATTTCATTCAGCTCCAGGCCTTTGCTGCATGTTAGCGGAGGTATGCTAAATCTCTGATTTAGTCCTGCGGTCCAAACTGTACCTGCAACTGGACGTGTACATTTGGATTGTCGGGATTTGCTTGTTAATTGTTTTTTGGGCAAAACGAGTGGTTTGGGCTTCAGAGAAGCTAAGCTGAGGAGTTTTTGTTTGAGGGGGGAAAGAAAAACGGGCAGAGGCAAAAAGCTGCCTGGCCTGTAACGACATGCCCTGGGATTATTCCATTTTGTTCCACAGCAGGACTTCCATTCCTTTTTCTTTTTTTCCAACAATAAGGGTCCATACAACGTTAAATTGCAAATTCCAGCTTTATGATTGAAAATGTCCTTTATATTAGGTAAATTTGCATGCAGTTTTATGGAGACTTTCTGTGGGGTTTTTTGTTTTTTTTAATCCACATCCTTTGTATTGATTTCTTGCCTTTTATAAGCAACAGCCTAATGCTGGATAAACCGGCTAATCTTAGATATTTATCTTGGCCTTTTGTAAGAGCATAATCTGTGCTGTTTGAAAGCTGTGCAGTGTCTCATTCTTGAGCTGCAAGCACAAGGCTCCATTTGCTCTCTTTATAGTCATGCAGGCTGATCATAGAAACATGAGTCATCCGACCCTCCCAGTCAGGTCCTAAATCTGAATCTCTTTGTAGAGCAAAGCAAAGATTAGATAAAGTGTCCAACAAGTTCAAGGGATCACTGTCTAACTTTCAAATTGCAACCCCCGTTAAAAATGTTTTAAAAAAATATATAAGTCTTCCTAGGGCTGCCTTTACTTGTACTTCATGGTTAAGTTGCCTTCCCGTCCTTCCCGTTTATACTTGGCATGCATCGCTGTTGAGAATGACTGTGAATTTGAGCCTGCACCGTCACCAGCCTAGCTCAGAGGCCCCTTATATTACGGGGCAGAATAGAAGCAGTAGCCAAAAGGTTTGAATCAGATGATCGTCTCAGATCCGTTTGTTTCCGCAGTTGGGATCCAAGGTACCCCTCAGTGAGCGGAGAGAAGGGAGTGTCTTTGTGTCAGAGCAGCGGTTCCTAGTCTGATTTGTCTTTGCGATGTCAGTGAGTCACTGTCCGAGTGAAGAGCCTTTGGCCTTTCTCACATGGTCAACAGACTTATCATGTTGGAGAACAAAGCACACACTATCGTCTGTCAGTAGAGCAATGGTCACTAAGGTGGCTGCAGGTTCGTCGTCGTCTTCCAGGGTGATTTGTTTTCATTCCCCAACAAGGAAAGACTTTAATTCTTGTTGTTTTTAAAAAAATCTTGCTAAAAGTAACACTCAGAAATAAAAATGTCCTGCACTGAGCAAAAAAAACCCAGGACCTGGCCCGAGTCATTTAGGCAAACCTGATTGTTTATTGTATCAGTCGTGCCGTGCGGGCATATTTACAGCAACGACTCTGCACCCAGGAAAGCAATTCTGGATAGATCGATCATTGTTTTTACTGTAGCTGCACAGTTGGCGACACTCATTGCGTTGGAGAAACAGGGAATTTCTAAGTTCATCAGGTACTTTGATTTTGATGATGACGCTGCATAATGAGACCCTTTTCTCAGTCATTTTTTTAATTTTTAAAATTCCTCTCACCTTCATCTAAATGAGCTCTCAAGTCTTATCGCTCCGAGCGTTAGACGTGTCTTTAATGGTGAGGCTGTATTGCTCAGGTTACCCTCTCAGGGCCACGACGTGGCTGTCAGGGAGTCGGGCCCGGATGGGCCGGTCTATAGATAGGCCACAGACAGAGAGCTCAGCTGCGCTGCTGTGCAGAGCAGGTCATTCTGTCAGGCAGCTCAACAGGTGCATAGCACGCAGTCGACTCCCATTTGGACTCTCTCCTCGTGCACTCAGAACTTTACCACCCTAACCCTCGTCAGGGCGTGCAGGGTGTCATTTTTTTGGCTCTGATATGACTGCGTTTTCTTTGGTCTGTTGAACTCAAACTAGCTTATTTTGCAAGATGAGATATTATTCATGTCGGTAACAACACGGCATGTGAAATTTGATTTTAAGAATATGATGACACCAGAGAATCACTTTTACTATGAGTTGTTATTATATTTTATCAATAGAAATTTCTGTGCATTCTTTGGAGACCGCCCAAACCCAGCCATAATAAGGATTTACATTGGCTTGAATTAAGGCGAGGTTTGTTAGGTAAATAGCAACAGTTGCATTTTCATACTGGCTAAAGCCGTTTTCTTGTTGTTGTTTTTTTATCTTTGCAGATGAGCAAAGATTGTTTCACCAGCCTGGGTTATGAGGCTAACAGTCAGTTATCTAGCACCAATTTTAATAGGCTCAGATTGTTTCTTTCGCTTTTCCTTTCTTATATCGAGTCATTGAAACGCACTCAAAGTGTCATTGGTACTAAACACGAGCTCAGGCCATCACTTCTTTTCATCGTCTATGATCTTGTCACTGAGAAACCACTTGTTTGTGTTTTGTTTGTTCTCCTCGGGCTATTATTGAAACAGGAATAGCCATGCTCACAGGCCTCCTGTTCTGTTAGTGCTGATAAGAAATTGCTGGAATGCTGACAGTGTTTGTCTGCAGTGAGATACTGTACACACTACCCCCAGTATTTATGGACTGTCTTTTACTCAGAGATAAGGGGTTGGGCTCCATGGGCCTGTGCGCCATACTTTGTTGTTAGAATGTTCCATTTTTGGTCCCACGTGGCCCGTCAGCGTCACAAATAAAGACGTAATGGAAGGATAGGCTGCATAGCTACCTGTGTGACCCTCTCTGAGCTATGCAAGCGTTGCTCAAATTAGTGCCTAGTATCGAGCCATCCTGTACAATTCTGTCCCTTGTGCATTCTGCCTAGGTTTGGGCAGATTTGTTCAATCTTTCCAGAACTTTTATTTTCCCTGGAGGAGACTTTATTAGGTTTAGACTCCTTTTTAAAGCAGACATGGCTTTGCTTAACAGTTTAGCCAATCTTCTGAAACTGCCTTTTTTTTAACAGTCAGAGCAGAGACAACTTTAGTCTTTCTGTGCTGTTGGCATCTCCCCCACGAGGGCTTTAAATCAGCCCTCCTGAAGTTGATGGTTTGCATATGTTCAGTTGGATGAAGCAACCCAAGCGTTCGGAGGACCACAGAGCTGCAGCTAACAGCGGAAACATGTCGGCAAATATCCGACTAGTTGTAGTTCCTGAAAAGAATTCATGCTGTGTGGCGTCTGTGGCCTTGTCTGACTTTATTTTTGAAGACTAATGTCAATATTTTACAGTCTGAGCTTTAGCGTGTTCTTTTTTTTCCTGCCACACAAAAGGTGGGAAAAGGAGCATAATTTGCAACCTTTTAATAGATAATATATTCGATCGAATGCTACATATGTAAAAGGTAGTAAAGTTTTCATAGTCCTCAAGTATATTTAAATAGTTATTCTGACACATCGTTATGTAAAAATGTCTTAAACCTTCATTTTAGGTTTGGGGAAATCCATAATTGATGTAGCAATTCATCAAATCTTGTAAACATTAATAGAAATACAGAATATAAGGCAAAAGAAGAGCCTGAAATTCGATATTTGACATTGTCGCAATTTTGCTTAACAGTGTTTAGCCTTTTAAAGTTTGTTATTTATTTTCTTGTTTTTGTAGCACCAATTAAAAAAAGTAATAGCGTGTTGTGTGTTTTTGCAACTGGTACAACGAAGTGTGTAAAAATACACTCTTGTAAGAAAAGTTCAGTGGTTCATCCCTTGAGTTGGGGGCCATTTTAGTGTTGCGTGACTCTCTGATTCCCGAATATACAGGAGTATAGAAACAGATAGCGGAAATTGTTTTAAGAAAATATGTTGTTTGATAAAGCAAAGAAAAAAGTATGAAATATCTAAATGAATACATTGGTGAATAAAGTCAAGGACAAGATATTAACCTCAACATTAGAGTTTGAAATGAAAGCAGAAATGTCAGTTAAATTTCTGTTTTAAAATGTGAAACATTACGCTTTATTAAAGTAGATTTTAATGGGGTATAAATGGCCATCTCTGTCCTATGTAGGCTGTAATTTACTCCTTAGAAAAAGTGCTTACTCTGTAACCTTTAAGGATTCAGTGTGTTACCCATGCAAAGATTTTTTCCTGCTCACATGGTCCTCTTTTTGTTCCTGCTTTTTGTTTGTTCGCTTCACTTTCAATTAAATGAAAAACAACTGTGTCCTCTTACCTGTTTTCATTTTCAGCCTCACAGTTTCCAGAATAGAAACAACTGTCTTTAGTATCCATTGAAACCATGTAAATGTGACTTTAATTTGATCATTTGTTTGCCTGACAGTCTCTACTTTCTTGTTTACTTTTCGTGCTCGATGGGTGTGACTTCCAAGTTTCCATTCATGGCTGACAGGTGTGTCCATGTTGTGTCTCGCAGGCGGAGGCGAGGCTTGCAGCGAAGAGGGCGGCTCGGGCCGAGGCCAGGGATATTCGAATGAGGGAACTGGAGCGGCAACAGAAAGAGGTACACCTCGCAAAATGGACCCAATGTGCAAACCTGCTCAGGGAGCTTTTTAAGCTCCTCAAGCAAGCCAAATATAATGCCCCACAATGTTTCCTGGTGTGTATCGAAGCCGCCGTGCTGCATTTCCACAGCTGGAACCAGAAGTTCTATTCCCGAAGCAAACGTCACCCAGTTTTTGTGTTTCAGCAGTTTGGAAGTATGATTGTATGTTTTTCTTGGCTTTTCCTCCCTGTCCAGCTTTCTTACCACTCATCCAGCGGTGGCAACAAAAAATGGGGTCAGATCCACCAGTGGATGGTAGGCAAGCCAAAGGAGTGTGTGCTTTCTTTTCCACTAACACAGCCTGTTGTGTGGGATTGATCCCGTCAGCCGCGACCACTTAGCTGCACTTGACTCGCAGACTACTTTGTAGCTCACTGTGGAAATATGCTTCTGTGGTGCTTTTGCTTTGGAGACGCCATAATATGTAACTGTGTGTATTTGGAGTGGAGGCTTTGACCTCTGGCATTTTTAATTTTGTTTTAAAGTTTGGTTGTGGCTGCAAGCAAGGCAGCGGTTTGAACTGTACTGGTTAAAGCTCCCCGTGTTTGACGCTCGGAGTGAATCTGTGGTTTTGCCGGTCTGTTGATAGTATTTCTTAGTTTGAGACAGCGCTGATATTCTTAGTTGCCGTGGATGTTGCCTGTGGTCTCGGAGAGGCCGTCTGCTAACGTTTGACATCTGTTTGGCGATAAACATGCAAACGTTGCTTTACGTGGTTCGGCATTTGCATGGGAACGGTTGAAAACTACAGCGACCTCTATAATAATTCTCGCTAACGTTCTCTCCCAATTCCAGGCAGAAACAGAAAAAGCCAGATCCACTAGTGGTAGTAGAGCCAGCAGCCGTCAGCATCGGGTCTGTATCTCTTTCACTCGTTTCCCCTTTGTTCCCCTTCAGTTCCCCTCTTCCTTCCTCTGTAATGCTGCACTTGATATCTCATCGTCCATGTTTTCTCTCTTTCTGCTGTGACTCCACGTTTCCACATTAACAGGGGCTGGATGACGATGTCACGTCAGTCCGCAGTTACAGGGTGTGTATAAAAGCTTGTTTTAAGCAAATGCTTTGTGTGAAAAACTCTTTTGGTAACCCTTTTGTTTTTCTTTTCCTCTCAATTCGAAGTCAACGTCGTCCGCCATGCGCGATCTAGGATCAAACAAGAGTCGATCCAGCTCCCGTAGAAAGGATGCTTTGGTGCGTTCTGTGCATCGGCGTTACAGATTTCTATGTTTCTCCATTAACGTGACCCAAACTATCAACAGCAAATGAAAAAAAACATTACAAAAGGTCATTTATTCATTGAGAAAGATGATGAGCTTAAAAAAAGAAAAGAAAGAAAGGTGCTATGTTGGACCATGTTCAATAATCATGGCCACTTCTATTTTAGTTCTACAAAAAAGTATTTAGTGTAATGTTTTATCTACTTTATAATCACCTTTTTTTGTCACGCTTGCCTTGCTCTTGCACTCAGCAGAGCTTAGTTTCTCATCGTTGAACCGTACAGATGATGGATTTAGGGTTTCCGTGCATCCGGTCATTTGTAGGCACACCAGAGCCCCTAACACAATATTTAGTTTTAAATGTTTTTATTACATCCGTCCTGTTTTTAGAAGAAAAAATGAACTCTTTACTGTTTGAATATGAGTAAGTTCAGTACATCAGAACTGATTTTCATTCTTCTCCTCGCTCCTGGTTTCTCTTCAGTCGGATGGCCTCTCCTCTAGCTCCGTCCTCAAGAGTTCTCGCTCCACTGTATGTAGCCCTCTCTTCATCGTCTCCTCCTCCCTGTCTTCTCTCTCCTCTTTTTCCATATCTCATTATGTCGCTGTTGTTTCGTCTCCCCTTTTTTTGCGCGGATGAACAGAGCTCTGTGTACAATGACCTGCGCAGCCATAAAAAGTCGTCCAGCTCCTCAAAGAAGGACCTGCTGGTCAGTGTTGGTGTGGTGTTGCCGTCTCCGCTTTAAGCACGGAAGCCCTGCGGGCTTATAGGGACTTGCGGTGGTGACTCACTTCGATCGCCTTTAATTTCGATTAGACTTACTAATCACTGTTTTGCAGACCACAGTCCAGTATTTGTAGGGAATGCGGCATGGTTTGACACTTCAAAATAATAATCAAACTGTTGTTGTTTGAGGTCATATTATATTGCTATTCTTGTAGACTGGACTGTACCACGATCAGAGGAACTACACCAGCCTCACGAAGACCAAAGCTCCACCTCTGCCTTCCACTTCCACCTATCAGCCCCGGGTCGGTCCAGCTGTCAGTACAACGCTCTGGGAGACTGGGACTAGCTTATGATTTATCATTTATTCACATGCCTGGTGGAGTTGTTGCGTAACTAGATATTGTTTGGGAGCCCATAAAATCATAAAAGGGCACAGACAAACAGGCCAGTCCTGTTGAATGTTGTGCTGATTCTTATCCAGTATTGAAACGTTGAACTGGGCAGGCCTAGAGAGCTCTAAATGTTACAGGGTCAGCGGGACACTCATCCTGTTTTCCCTGAAGCTGGTTAATCTCTCGCCACCTGACATTCTGGCTTCGCTGTCCCTCTGTCCTCTAAAGTCCCATTTCTTTCCTGCTTTCCTTTCCAATAGGCCACCACTTCCTCTGCGTCCACCACTGGCACAGGGCTGTCTCGCAGCTACAGCATGGTCAGTTTCTGCCCACTCAGTTGCCAGCATCTCTCTGAATGCCTCTAGTTACCTTCAGATGCAGAACACCCCACCTCCCTCCCTCCGTCCCTCCCTCCCTCTTGTGGCCGGGCACAGCTTATATTTAGCTCCTGGACACTCTTAAGTGCTCGACTAAGGGGTACGGTATTTATATTTCAGTTTGATTAGCCAGGCTTTTGTTATCGAGCCGCTGTGAAAACAGACGGCCCGCTTAATGACGGGGAACAGACAGTCTTCCTGTTTGTTGCTTCAACAACGTGCACGGTCGCTCCACTCTGCTCAACCATAACGTCAAAGATTTATGTTCGCTGTCGTGTTTTGCTGAGTCCTACATTGTCTCCGACATGTGCCCCCAGGCCTCTATTTATGACGACGCCGGCCTTTACGGCTCAGGATACAGTTCAAAAGCTGTAAGTCCTCTCAACCTTTGCCACAACGCTTTTTTTTTTTAAAACTTTTTTTTTGCACCCTCACTCCACAGTACCTCACTGCCTGTTGCCTGATGTCTTTCCTCCTCCTCCTCCTCCTCCTCCTTCTCCTCCTCCCCCCCACAGCCCTCTGAATACAGCTGGTACTCCTCTGGAGCCAGCTCCACTCGCAGCAGCCCCGCGGTGAGCACTGCAAGACCACCGTCGGCCTGCATGCACACACAAACTCACAGCGCTAACAAACGCCTGCCCCCCCCAACCCCCCCTCACTCCGAGACTCACATCCAGCTGGGGACAGTGCTGACCCCTAAAGCAACGGCCACAGTGTGTGGCAGGAAGCCGTATCACCGATGAACGCGCGGGGAATTAAGAATCTTCTGCTTTGGGTCGTTAAGTGTTGAATCCAGGTTGTCCGTTTTTGGCTTGATGAATTTGCCAGCTGTAACTGCGATCGCATGCAATAGCATTACTCACCTGGTTAACCGAGGATGTTCTAGAAAGGACGTGTGTGTGCGTTAGAGTCGCGGGCATGCGGGCATCCTACATTCCACTGAATCTTCACCATGTGTGCGTTTGTCTGTTGGTGCGTGTGCGTATTCCCAGCACTCCTCCTCCGACGATGACACTGTCAGCAGTGTGTCCCAGGAGCGCTGCAGCAGAGGCCGGAGAGACAGTGCGGTGAGCCGTTGTAACCGGGCCGTGCAAAAAAACTTTGACAGAAGCTGCTCTGTCAGTGATTGTAGTTGACGCTTGTGGTAAAAGCTGCTGTTCTCAATGCTCACACTTTGACCGTCAATCTCATTGTTTTCCTCTTGATTACTTCTCCTCTTCACCCTGTCTGTGTGTGTGTGTTTGTCTGTGTGTGTGTGTGCGCGCGCGCCACGTAGTCCTCTGACTTCTCGGACATTAGCGAGTCAGCTGCTGATTATTTCAGTCGCTCCAACCGAAGGGGCAGCATCGTGTCTGACCTCGACGATTTGAGCATTCCGGATTTGGACGCAGTAAGTTTCCCCGAGATGCGGCGCCGCACCCGCAGCGGCTGAATGAAATGCCTGAAGCGAGCGACATGCGCTCAGAAATAACCTTTTGGTGTGTGGAACTCATCCCAAAGCCCGTGTTTTTCACTGACCACTTCCCAGTAAACTGAAGGGCACTTCAGAGATAACTCCACTGCATGCGAGCGCAGCGCTGCAGCAGCATGCTTTGGACTGGTTGTCCTATTTAATGGAGGTGTGTGATCCCCTCATCCCGTCGCTCGCTGGCGCAGTTATCGGGGTTGGACAGTTTGTGAACATGCAGCACTGGTGTCCGACTCGTTAATGTGTGAATTAACCCGTTGGTTTTCAGAGGATTCGGCTCCAGGCATGACCACAGCAGAGGAAAGAGTTTGCCTCATTCGTTTTTGGCTTGTTTTTAATATTTCCTCTCTTTCCTGCAGCTGGATGAAAAATGCGACAAGCAGTTCTCAGATTACAGTCGGGTAAGTGAATCGTTGTCCTGTGGCATCGAAATTCTCACTACAGAGCGTTAAAACTCCACCGTGTAGGGGCCACTGTTGCAGTGGTAGCCTAGTATTCCTGGTTCTCATCAACAGTTTGTCTGGAGTTTGAAAGGAGATTCTTCTTCTTGAAGAAGGTTTTTCTCCATTCCGCACCAGAGTTTAATCAAGAAAAGATGACATGTATGAGATCTGTCATCCTATCTATCCTGTTATCCTGCTTTGAGCTGGAGGCAAAGATGCATCCTGTTGATATTTTACACACAGAAATTAAGCAAGTTAAGTTTTCAAAGTGTGCTGCATCAGCGGCCCCTCCAGAAGGGTTTTAATGGGGTCCGGCCGCATTAGAGCCGATGTATCGAGTAACTGGTCGGGGTTGTGTTGCGCCGTTGTGTTTCCTGACTGGTGTCCTGTGACTCTGCATCCCCAGCCATCCTCCCGCTGCACCACCCCAGGGCTCTCGGCAGCCGCCCTGGCCACGCTGGGTGGGACTTCCTCACGGCGAGGGAGCGCCGACACGGGCAGCGCCTACGACCCCGACACCAGCCTGAGCGAACTCAGGGTAAGACGTCCAGCCCGGTCCCCGAGGCACACATATCCCGGACAAATTAGAATCACCATCACATGAAAGTCTAGTTTTAGATTCAGAAGCATAAAGCTAAAACGCTAATCCGTTGGATTGTACGTTGGAGTCATTCATGTCGACACATGTTCCTGCTGCATATGACCCCCCACAGCATCGCCTCTGTTGTGTCCTTCCTCCTGCTCTGTGTCTCCTTTAACCAATTTTTCTTTGTATGCTCGGGGCCACTGGATGTGACATGTGTCCCGCAAAGCTGCGCGTTACCTCTCGGTCAGACGGACTGTCTTGAGATTGCCGCACGAGTGCCTTGTTGTCTCGCCTTTACAATCCCTGCCTCTCTCCGACGCCCCGGTTCACCCCCAACATTCCCTCCATCTGTTCTACAGGATATCTATGAACTAAAGGACCAGATTCAGGATGTAGAAGGGCGGTACATGCAAGGGCTTAAAGAGCTAAAGGTAGAGGGGCTTGAGCTCGCAGCATGCCTTCTTTTGTCCTCTGGGAGCCGTGCGGCATCACTAACACCTGCTGGCTTCCCTCTCACCCCCCTCTGTTCCGCCTCTTGCACCTCCTTACACAACCATGTTGTTGCCTCCTCCCACTCTAAATTGCGCAATGAGCTGCGTTCTGCATGCCCTTCCCTTATTTCCTGTTTCATCTGAAATAAAACCACTAAAACTACAGCGCAGACTGGTAACAAAGCTCCATCTGCTGACCGATCAGCGACACCTCAGGTTTGACCTTCGACCCGAGCTTCCTCCGGCAGTGTTGGATGCACCGTCACCTTCAGCAACTTCTTGTTCAGTAATGATAAAAACCCTTGCTATCTGATTGATAAGAGCAGTTTACTAACAGCCTGACACCTGACAGAGTTCAGTCCAGTTCTCTCTTGTAGTTCTCTCTTTCAGATCCCATTTTCACTCCTAAAGCGATGCACTCTGCACCCGCTGTGTGATCCATGTTTCTCCACTGCACTTCACTTATTTGTCCCACGTCCCTTGTTTTACAACCTCAACTCGAAAAAGCAAAAAGAAAAGAGCCGGGCTGTGTTAAAAATGGAAGAAAAAAAAACTAAACACAATGATCTGCACACCCTTTCATTCTCAATGAAGCAGAGGAAACGGGGAAAATGTTGAAAGTGAGATATTATTTTTTTTATTTTTTATTATTCCCTCTATATGACAGGGTATTATGGACACACTTAAAGAAAAATTTTAGAATAAATTACCAGAATAAAGTCCAGCATACTCTCTCCTGTTTCAGAAGACGAGGGTTGTAAAAAACTAGGATTGTGGAGCATTTGGTGGAAATGTGCTTTAGGACAGGAGATACGTAATCACTTGGCACATCATAAATATCAGGACGTTAAAAAGAACATGTAAGAAAATGCTTCTTTTCTGCAGAAAGCACCAGGCGGACTGGGAAACCGCTGCTTTTGTGGAGGAAATGGCTGGAAGTGGTCGAATGCTTTAACTTTAATCTCGTACCTCTGAGATACATTTCTAAAAAGTTTACATTTCTCACTTTCAACATTTTACTACTTTTTGTTCTGAATAAAAATCAATGCATTCTGTTTTCAATGATCTTTTACACAGCTTTAAATCGTTTTTTTTTTGTTTTTGTTTAAAAAAACAACACTTGAGGTTATAAAATGGAGAAATCACATCAAAGATGCACAAAATGAAGTCTTTTCACAATCATTCGTTTGTGTGTGTGTGTAGTGTTGTCTGGCCGGTTCATGTGAATCTTGGAAGAAAGGTGTTTTTATTCCGTTGTGTGTATGGATCTTTTTTATGGACGGCCCGCTTGTTGCATGCAGTTGGGCCGCTGTTGACTGCGTTTGCTCCGTTTGCCACGTTGACCTGTTCTCGAACTCGCCAGGAGTCGCTTGCCGAGGTTGAGGAGAAGTATAAGAAAGCCATGGTGTCGAACGCGCAGCTGGACAACGACAAAGCCAACCTCATCTATCACGTGGACACGCTCAAGGACGTCATAGAGGAGATGGAGGAGCAGACGGCCGAGATGAAGAGGGAGCTGGAGGAGAAGTCCAAGGTGAGCAGTCAGGGGAGGGGGGGGGGGGGGGGTCGCCTTTGTCCCGGGATAGGCACCGCTAATAGAAAGGTGGCTAAAATGTCTTGTTTTGTTTGGTTTTTTTGGTTTTCAGGATCTTGAAAGACAAAAGCACACGTGTTCGGTTCTGCAGCACAAACAGGAGGAGCTGAAGGAGGGCATCCGCCAGAGAGACGAGCTGATAGAGGTACGACCAGGCGCTGGGGTCCGGCCGGCTCGCTCTAAAGCCGCCGGTGGCTCTGGTGCAGCTCCCCGAGAGGCTCTGCCGGAATTAAGATTGCGTCTGCCCGCCTGTGTCTTCTCTCCCAGCCGACAGCCTCCCTGTGGCTCTGCTTCACCGTGCTGTCGCTCTATACGCTCTACTTATGCTCTCACCCCGTTTCACCAGCGTCTGTCTCCTCTCTTCGTACCCGGGTCCATCCGAGGGGGCGGTCGGGGTGGGGGAGGGGCATTTTTCACATCTCTTCCTCTTTGCTGTTCAAACCTTTCCTGTTCTGTTCTTGTCTTCCGCTGTCCCATCTCTTGCCACCCCCAAACGCCACTGCAGGAAAGCCAGCGAATGCAGACTAAGTTAGACGCCCTCACCCGAGAGGTGTTTGATCTCCAGGAAACGATAAACTGGAAGGACAAAAAGATCGGGGTAGGCGGTCCCACGCGGGTGCTCCGACAGCCCGTCAGAGGCTCCAGGCCCTCATGCTGTCTCTGCATGATGGAGCCTTTTGGGGCCCAGGCCCAAGCACAGTTTGGGTTTTTTTGCATGTCAAAGGAACGGTTTGGGTCTTGCTAACTGGACCTGTTAAAGCCTGCGGCGGTCAGCCTGCGAACTGGAAGTTTTGCAGACTAAATGGCAAATCTGTACTCTTGACCATGCCATGCATGTCCCACCTGTGGATTGTGAAGTTTTTAAAAAAACTTTTTAAGCAAAGTGTGAACACGCGTCAGCTCATTGGAAACTTTCCCTAATCTCACAAACTAGCAGCTCCTGTACTCTGCCTCTCCTCTTAACCTCTGTCCCTTAACGTCATGCACCAGCATTTCATCATTTCCCCACCTCCACAAACTGCACCCCCCAGCACCCCCCCCCACCCTCCTTGTTGGCCCTAGGTGCACGTTTGTGCGTTGAACATGTAATGCGTTAGCATGTGGTGTTGCATGTCTGTCCAGAGTCTATCCAATTTCCACCCCCCCTCTCTCTCCTGTCTTGTTTTCTCTCATGTGTGGCCAGGCCCTAGAGAGGCAGAAAGAATACTTTGATTGCATTAGGAATGAAAGAGACGAGCTCAGAGATGAGCTCGCCGACATCAAGGGGAAGGCCAAAGCCGGAGAGGTAGGTTCACCAAACCCCAGAGGAGAACAGAGGGTTACAGGGGGAAAAAAACCTTTCCTTTTCCTTTCTTTTTTGGTTGGAATTAATCAGGTGATTGAACTGTTGTTGAGTGCTTCCTGCTTTTTTTTTTTCTCTACTGTGTCTTCCCATTCACTGTTTTCTGTTACCTCCCAGCCTTTTTCTTAGTTTGTAGGCACATGACCGCGTCTCCAGTTCACTGTATCAAATTTCTGCCAAATTTGTTTGTGGCAGCTAGTCAAATAGTGTTGCTACTGTACATAGAAGTCGCCATGGCAACGTGAAACGACTGTAAACACGCAACTCTCAACAGGAACAGTTATTGTGCGCTGGCTTGGTGCAGGGACGTGTGGCGTAAATGACCCGACCACAGACAAAGATGGAGTTACATTCCTTCCAGATTACCAGCCATTTAAAAATAAGCAGCAGGAAGCGAAAAAGAAAGTATCGCATCGCTTTAAAGTATTTCTGCTAACCTGTCTGAACACAAACCGGATCCTATGAGGAAGCTTTGTTTGTACCATGCGAGGCCCTACTTCTAATCTTAAACACTGCCTGTCTGAAGGCTTCCATTTAGCAGATCCTATCTAATGAGGATTCATTGTTTTCCCTCCCGCGGGTGTGTTGTTTTTCCCTCTAAGACTTGTGGAATTGGGTTATGAAAAAGCCTCTCGTTTCCGCAGAAACACGGCCTGGTCATCATTCCAGACGGCACACCGAACGGAGACGTCAACCACGAGCCTCTGTCCTCGGGGATCACCCTGGTGTCCCAGGAGGCCGCCCAGGTGCTGAAGTCTGCCGGAGAGGGCCCGCTGGGTAAGACCCCCGAGCTGGAGAAGACCATCAGAGAGCAGCCGTCCAACGGGTTTTCCCTTTCTTTTTATTCATTCATTTTCTTCTTCTTTTTTTTTTCCTGGTGCAGACGTGAGGCTACGGAAGCTGGCAGAAGAGAAAGACGAGCTGCTGGGCCAGATCAGGAAGCTGAAGAACCAGCTGGAGGAGGAGAGGCAGAAACACTCGAAGGCGGACAGCGCCTACACAGACGGGGAGCGGATGGAGAACGGTACAGACCTGCACTTCATCGAGATGCAGAGTGAGTCTAGCTCCCCGGCAGCCTCAAAGGCCCACATCCCAGACGGCAGCCTCTTCAGACTCTTGGCTTTGTTCTTCTTGCGCAGGGGATGCCAACAGGCAGATTAGCGAATACAAATTCAAGCTCTCGAAAGCGGAACAGGAAATGGGTACAATGGAACAAAATGTAAGTCGCATCTCAGAGGTTTACACAAAGTGAAGCATGGCGGGGGGAGGGGGGGGGAAGCCGTAAACTGAGCCGCTGTCTGTTGGACAGATCACCCGACTGGAAGGGCAGGTGTCCCGGTACAAGGCAGCGGCCGACAACTCGGAGAAGATCGAAGACGAGCTCAAAGCAGAAAAACGGAAACTTCAGAGAGAGGTGAGCATTTAGGTCCCGTTCGGCCGCATCCAGGCGTCTGCCCCGCTGACCCACTGACCCGCTGACCCCCGTCTTCCCACAGCTGCGCACCGCTCTGGATAAGATCGAGGAGATGGAGATGACCAACAACCATCTGGTGAAGCGCCTGGAGAAGATGAAGGCCAACAGGAACGCGCTGCTGTCCCAGCAGTGAGGCCGCGGCGCCGCGCCCCGGAAGCCCTTAAACTCGCACCTCAGACCTCTGACTGCAGCCGCCGCGCCCGGAACTCATCTCCACCTGCAGCCGTCACACTCTAAGATCTGTAGCTAACCAAAAACACTTCAGACTCGTAGCACGGGCAAAGGAAAAACAGACCTGTGTCCTCTTTGTCTGGTTTTTAAACGGGAGATGCTTTTTGTCTGGTGGGCCGCCAGCACTTTTGGGAGGAGTTCCTCAGAAAACTAATAGAAATGTGTAAGCTGCCGGGATCTGAGGAAGTTTCGTATGTCACTACTTACATTTTCAGACCTTTATTATTACACCGTGCTATCAAGGTGACTTCATTTCCCTTTGGTTGGGTGCTTGGTTGTTGTTTATTTTTTTTGTTTGTTTTGTTTTCTTTTTTTAAGTTGCATGAGTGGGTATAATGATGCTTTTAAACTATTAAACCCTCCCGTGGCTGCTCCGAGCCTGCACCTTCCAAGCTTCCCCTCACACAGTGAAGTGCCTTTTCACACTAGGAGACTGGGAGTCAATGAGACAGTAATTGTTTTAACAGGTACAGTATGATGTATTTAAAAAAATAAAAACAAAAAAAAAGAGAGAGAGAGAGAAAAGTGAGGTCGTCATTTGAAAATATATTAAAGTTAAAAAAAACAACTGTGTCTGCTGCGGTTTAATTGAAAATTTTCAAATATTTAAAAGATTTGTTGGGAAATAAATGTGTCATTTACAGAGCTGTGTGTAAAATCTCTGTGCTTTTTTTTCTCCCTCCCCCCCATTTGATTCTGTTTCTGATTTTTGAAGCGTTCTTTACAGCTGTTTCACAGCTTTGTTTCATGAGAAAAGCCTGAAAGCCACATGTGCTTTTATAGAATACAAACAAACCAATGCTTTTGTTTAACTGTAGTTCTGGGCAAATCTCTAAAGCCACCCCTCATTTCTTCACATTCTTCCAAAGTTGTTGTGAGTATACCAGATGAACAGCATCTGACTGTGATCCATCAGCCATTATCTCCTTCTGATCCAAGGTCAGGTTGCCTAGGCGATAGATCTTGAGGGGATACCCAGACATCTACCCGGCGACACACTCCAGCTCCTCCTGAGGTATCCAACGGGCACTCGCAGGTCAAGATTAATCCTTGAGAAATGTCAGGGTCAGCTACAGGGTTTCCTCCCGGAGGCGCACGCCCACCCCAAAAAAAAATTACTCCCTAAAGCTTGGCAGAGGTAGGAGGCATCCCAAACCACCTCAGAAACGGCCTCCAGGGAGAGGTGGAGGCCGTCAGCCCGTTTGTGCCAGCCTGACTGCACATTAAGCACCATCTTTTGGTCAAATTAAAAAATGTCTATAGGTTTAAAGAACGTCAGTATACGTTACGACAGCTGAACAGGAAGTTGCTGTTGGTGTGTTTTATATTGGTCAGATCCCCACGACAGACTCTGTTTTATTCTTTGTATAAAGTGTTTATTTACAGCAGGCAAATCGACAGTGGATGCAAAAGAGCGGCGCTCTTCCTGGTTGGGTTTTTTAAGTCCGTCCTGAGGCGCTCAGCACCTCTCGAACACTTTGTAGAGGTCGGGCAGGTTGGCGATCTGCAGCACGGTGCCGTCCTCGCTGAAGCTCTTCGGGGGGCTGAAGAGTGTCCGAAAAGCTTTGAAGATGATGTGCTCCACATTCCGACGCCAAGAGTTCCCCTCTGCCTCCTACATAAACAAAAAAAAAAAAGGCAAACGAGTGCAGACGTGAACGGGTCAGTGCAGGACCAGTTTTAGGAGTGGGGCTCGGAGCGGAGCGCCTTACCCGCTCCTCCCCGGGCTCGGCCTCCAGGATGAGCTGCTTCCTGATGGAGTAGAACATGCTGCACTCTTTGCTGAAGTCCCTGAAGCACTCCTTCTCGTTGTCCCAGTTCACCTGCGTGACGCCGACAAAGACACTTTTACCCATTTGTGCTTCCAGAGTCTTTTGGGCGGCCGGCGGGAGGCGAGGGGGACTCTGACCTCGGTGGCCAGGCGCAGGACGAACATGGGGAGACCCTCCATGATGGGGGTGTATTTGTCAAGCAGCAGCGGGAGCCCTGTTAGGTTTCCTTCCTGTTGTGGTTCGGTCGACGTTAAAAAAAAAAAGTGACAGTGGAAAGCACAAAGGCAGAGGTGTCCGAAACCAAAACACCAACCTGGTCGATCTCCAGGGAGAAGTAGTCCTCCAGCATGTCGGCCTTCCCCTTCAGGAAATCCACGATGTACTGCGCCAGGCCCTCTTTGGGGCCGTCCTCTTCCGTCCAGCCGCTCTCCTCGGAGTCCAAAGCCAGCATGGCCAGGTCATAGAGAGGAGCCGGAGTCTGGAGTGGACACCATTTTAAGTTCAAAGCCGGCTCGGAACGCTCCGTTCATTCGACCTGCATAACACTCACCGACAGTCTGAGCACGCCGAAATTCCCAAAGTCATAGATGAGGATCTGGTAGAAGAGCTCCTGGCTGGAATGAGGGAAAAAACACAAACGGGGGGTTGAAGCAGCGGTGTGGAAGAAGAGAGCTGAGCGGCGTTTGTGTGGTGGCGGTGGGACCTGAGTCTGGTGGTGTTGAGCAGGTAGAGTTTGGTGTGGTGCTGGATCAGAGTCCACTGGGGGTTGACGCAGCCCACGAAGGAGTGGTTCTGCAGCATCTCCTGAAGGCCTGCGGACCGGCAGGGCAGAAGTGAGGACCCTCCTTTGACCGAGTTTCCGGAGTGCATTTATAGGAAGCGAGCTGTTCGAGTTACGTTGGCAGGGCGACTAGAGGGGGCTGGTTATGATTACGGTTTGTTTTTTTCTGTTAGGAGAGCGGCTTCTCCAAAAACAAGTTCTGGAAATGAGCTGTGCCCCCCAGCAAAGAAAAATAAAAAATTGGCTACATTTTTATTTCTTTCTAAGGTGGTACCTTGGTGTGTGTTCTCACTGATTTCGGCCCTCAGCTCTTTGATGCTGGTCAGCTTGATGGCTCTCCTCTTGGGAGTGTCTGCCGCCGTTAGGTCCTCGTCTTCCTCCTCCTCTGGCTGCGGCTCTTTCCTCGGTCGCTTCCTGCCTCACAGGGATGCACAAAGGCTGTCACACCTCCCGCGCGCCATACAATCTGAAACTTCCAGCCACACTAAAGCAGCTTGACCTGTAGTTGACAGCACCGGCCACAAGGGGGCAGAGAAAGCCACCTGGTGAAATCTTTTTTTTTTCTTAACATAAAGCAAAACTAAAATATAGGTATAGGATACAGAAATTAGCTAATGTAGGACAGAAAATCACAAAAAAAAGGGGGAAAAAATTACTGGATAAGTAGAGCTCTTAAAAACAAGTCACTGGCACCATTTTTTAATACAAACTAATAGAAGGGAAGTCAAGAAACCGCTTACATTGAGAGACAATCGTGTCATTTTATGAAGAAACTCCACCAGTTTACCATCTCATTCCCGCTCTCTTACTCAACTCTTTTGCTGCAGGTCAATGTTCAAACTTGCTCAGGGAGGGTGATTGCTCATAAATCTGTCCTGATCTGACTTGCAAAAAAGGGATTCCAGCCAAGGACGGCTGCATCGGCGCTCACCGGAGCTGGGATTCTATCAAGGTGCGTCAGCAGTTTGGAAACCCCGCTGCCCGGGCTTTGTGGACAGCCGTGTTCGTACTCGTGTGTTGGAGGAGAGTCTGCACTGCACGGCCCGTTAGCCAAACTTGCTGTCAGTGCGTTTGATACATAAAGATTCTCCCCACTTTACTGAGCTTAAAAGACTAAAAACAAAACAAAAAAGAGGAATTTCTCCCATATTCATGCAGTGTTCTCAAACTTTCTGTGTTTCTTACCAGGCCAGTCTCAGAACAAACTGCAAGCAGCCGACTAGAAAAGCGTCTCACCTTATAGCATCCTGATCAGCATCAGCGCCGCCCTCCCCGCCTTCAGCCAGGACCTCCAGCATGTCGGCATCGTCCAGCTCTGCGCCGTCCTGGGCGGCCTCGCTGGCAGCATGTCCGCTGCTGGGGCCGGCCGGCTCCGGGTCGGCCGGCGGTGGTGACCGGGGCGGTGAGGCCGGCTTCCCTCTCGGCTGGAGGAAGGCGTCCAGCTTCTGGGCTCGACAGTCGGTCCTCACCATCTGGTGTGCGTAGACCCGCTCGGCGGCCTCGGCCGGGGCGCCCGGCGCTTTGGCCTCTGCTGCGCCGGACACCGGCAGCCCCGGCAGCAGCGTCTGGGGGCGGAGACAGCCATGGAGGCCAGCGCTCTGACCGGCCGGCGGCGGGAGAGGAGCGGCGCTCTGACCTGGGTGAAGTACGTGCGCGAGGAGTTGGAGCCCAGCAGTTTGCTCTCCACGTGCTTCTGGACGCTCTCCACCACGGCGTCCTCGTGGAGGAAGTGCACCTCGTGTTTGGTGGGGTGCACGTTGACGTCCACGTTCTGCGGCGAGATCTCCAGGCTGTGTGGAGCAGAGAGCGGGCGGTGGGACACTAGACTGCACAGAGCTGGCCGCAGCCAGGACCCTGAGCCGGCCACCCACCTGAGGTACAGAAAGGGGTGCGTGTTCTTGGGGAGGTAGGCGGCGTAAACCGTCTCCACCGCCTTCTTCAAAGCCGTCGACTCCACCAGCCGATCTGCAACGATGCAGATCACAGCCTCCATTAAACACCACGCCCCCCGCCCGGCCCCGCCTCCATCCCCGTCTCCGTGGTTACGTACGGTTGATGAACAGAATCAGGATGCACTTCTTGACCGAGTAGTTTGCGTTGGAGATGTAGCCTTTCATCTTGAAAGCGAGCTTGGGGTCTTCGCATCCGACCTCGATCAGCTCCCTGGGAACACGGCACAGAGAGGCGGGCAGTCAGCAACCGGTGTACGGGGGGGTGGGTCACATGACAGCAGGGTGCAGGACTACCTGCTGACGGCATTTCCAAACACGCTCCGGATGTTGTCCACCACCGAGGCGTTGGGCAGGGTCCTCACGTCCGCCACAGTCTCTCCTTGCTGGAGAAAGAAAAAAAACTGGAGTTAAACAATATTGTGCTGGCTTTTTCACCAAAAGAACGACGTAGCGAAAAGCGCTAAAGAATCCAGCCTCTGATCCAAACTCACCTTTTTAACAGAGAAACTTTTCCCTGAATTGTGTATGGCGTACCTTTAAAAAAGAGACAACCGATGACAGTCTATAGGAAACATTCGCTTATTAAAGAGCCAAAAGCAGAAGAAAAAGAAAAGCTGAATTTTGTGCAACATAAGGGAGGGGGTCACAGACCTGCTGACCACCTCTACAATCCTGGAGTACTCATCGCTGGGGCTCTTGAGAGCTTTCCTCCTGGTGGACACGTTGTAAAAAAGGTCCTCCACCTGCAGACAGCGGCAGAAGTGCTGAGTCAGCCGTCTTAATCGTGTATTTTCCCGGATGGGCCGCAGGAACTCACGAGGATCTGCGTCCCCTGGTTGCCGGCGCACGGTTTAGGAGGGCCTTTCAGTTTCCCGTCACTGTAGCTCGCTCTGCCAGACAACAGCAAAAGACCGTCAGCATGCCGGAGAGCTGGGGTTCCCCGGCAGACGAGCGGTCACCCAAAGCACCTGTAGGCACACTTTGCATCCGCCGTCTTTGTGGTGATGGTCACATGGGCCACGTGGCTTATACTGGCCAGGGCCTGGGGGGGTCAGAACAGGGGGGGGCAGCAGCTGTGAGGCAGACATTCGCCCAGCGTCCCCGATCCCCAAGATCCGGGGGCACAGGCAACACTCACCTCTCCTCTGAATCCGTAGGTGGCGATGGCTGAGAGGTCCTCAAAGGTCTGGAGTTTGCTGGTGGTGAAGCGTTCGCAAACTATTTCCATGTCATCCCTCTGAGAGACGGAGAGAAAACTTAACCCCAGTGCATGTGTTTGGGACTGATCCCTTCAAGACATTACCGTTCATACAGCATAAAGCATCAGCCTCACAGCAACATGACAACTCCTGGTCTGAACTGACTGTAGACAAACGTGATAAAAAAAGGTTCTGACTTAAGGGTGGTCACCCACCCTAATGCCTGTGCCGTTGTCCTGAATCTGGAGGGATTTCAGACCGCCGTCCTTGGCTGTCACCTGGATGCTGGTGGACTTGGCATCCAAGCTGGAACAAAAAACAACAACAAAAACAACACAAACTGATGTTATACACTTCACTGGTCGGATAGAACTGGAAATGTAACGGACGTGATATAAACAATGGCGGATATCCGCCGCTAAACGTCTTTTTTTACGAGCTCCTGAGTTAATTAAGACACGTGTGAGCACGAAAAGGCTTCAACGGGTACCAGTTTTCGATCATTTCTTTTACGGCGTTGGCAGGACGCTGGATAACTTCCCCGGCTGCTATGCGGTTGACGACAGTCTCGTCGAGCCTCCGGATAACTCCAGCCATGTTTGTGGCGCTGCTGGTGTCAACTTAGAAAAGGCAGGCAGCAGTTAGAGTCATTTCAGAGCACATAATTGAAACAACTATTTCAAGTTACAGTTTCATTTGAAGTCCAAGCTGGACTGCAATTATTTGAGCAAAGAAGTGAGAAGACAGCAGGACATGTCACTCTATCTATTTCCAATAACAGATATGTAAAGATATCGTTTTATCAATGCCCCACTTTTCTATTTCTATGTAATTAAACTGACCTGTTTATCAATATTTGGCAAACCGTCCCATTTGATTTTATTTGTTGGGTAGTTCTGGTTAGATTGACATAACAGACGTGAATGGGCGTTCTTTGATTTCGTAATGTATCTTCTTTCAATAGACAATCTTTGTTGGTAGCGCGGGCAGGAAAACTCGCGGGACTGATGAGTGGGACGCGATTTGGAGGATCTTCTTCTTCGCTGGTGTTCATATGTGGAACGTTGAACAAAAGCGCTGGAGGACCAAACCTTGCAAATTGTGTCAACTTTTAGCAAAAAACCGTTTCTAATTACAATATTGTAATTTGATCATTAACAATCCTGGAAATGTCTATTCCAAGTAATAAGTTTATGAAAATATGATATCATGGAGTTCACATGTTTTTTAAACTTAGAACAGTGAATCTTACATTTTTAGGTTATGAGGTTATGGATGTTTTAAGCCTCTTAGAGGGCATAAAATAGTATAAATTAAATAACCTCCCTGTTGAAGGTGTCTTTGTCTAGTCTGCTAAACTGGTATAAACCAGAACAACCTTTGTTTTAACCATCGATACCTACAAAACAATTATGGAACCGATGCATGGAGGGAAAATATTTGGTAGTTTAGAAGTATCACTGTATTCATTGTCACAATTGTATTTATTTGGACTTTCAGTCTAAGCCTAAAATGTAGCTTTATCCTTTTACACAGTGCAATCAGCAAATATTTTCAGAAATGGTTTAATTCCCAACGCTGAACACATATTGACACTATATTTAACATCTTTAATTCAGTCAATGTGAGAAATGAAAGGATCATCTCAATTCCGTGTTTTTACTTGACAAACTGTTGTAAAATACGACAGAAAAATCTGAAAAACTTGCCTGCCTTTGGCAAAATCATAGTAAGTAAGGTCATAATTCTAATCTACAACTGTGTGCATAGTTTACCAGATTACATGTGTCTGCATTCCTCACAGATCCACGTGTTTTTTCATGGAAAGTTTTTATTCACGCAGCAGCAGTAGATCATCATCTGCAGATAAGGAAATATACTCAGACATATCAGAATGTTTCTTTTTTTTTCTTCATTGTGTGAAGTAGAGGCCCAGCTGGTCAAATATTGAACTTGGGATAAACCAACCTGTGTGGTCGGGCACCTTAAACATTGTGCAGCGGGGCTAAAACTAACCCAGATCTCTTCTTTCACTGTCTCTGAATATCAGTGTTTATTCCTCCTTGGTTTCTGCATTTTGGCCTCAGGGTGGATGATCTCAGCTAGATGATATGCTGTGATCTTAGGTTACACAGAGCCACTGTTATATATTCTCTTAATGACTGAACTTAGTTTTCTTCTCAGGAGACATTAGGGGAGCACAAAGTCCTCAAACATTAGCAGGGTTAAAACAAAACTGAGGATAGATGGGCAGGTACTATCGTTCTGGATCTTCTAAATCCCACCCTAATGTAAGACCGCCCGTTGGGCTGGGTGTTTCTGTTTAAATAACAGCACAACATTTTAGAAAAAATCTAAACCCGATCTCAGAAGCCTCTTTTGTACTTTTTTGCTCATTTAGATTTAGCCGTTTCAGGGCCACAAAGTGGTTTTCCACAGGTAGATGCAAGCACAAGCCACAACAGAAGATGACAAAACCCCGAAGGGGCCACCGGAAGCATGGAAAGAAGACAGCCTGGCATTTACACACAACCAAGAGCATGTCATTTCTTGAAAATTAGTAATCCGCTAGTTCAGCACTCTGCTGGCTTTTTCCAAAGCTGCACCCCTGGGCTCACTCACAATGAGCCCAGTGATGTCAACAATGATGTCAAACCCACTTTCCTCCAGTTACTGTGCGATTATTTATTCCAGATGTTTGCTATACCTCTCCCTGGCAACAATCCTGCTCTGGCTGATGTTATATCTGTTCAGGAAAAGCCATTGTTCCATCTTTACATCACAGATGCCCCAGCAGGATATGATGTCTATTCCCGTTCCTTCCAGGATATTCCAATGTGCTTCACTTGCAGGATGTGCCATAGGATGCAATACAATAGAGCTGGAAAAACAGGCACGTAAAAATGTAAAGCAGAGTTGCTGCCCTTTGCTTCATAGCTTCTTAGACGTCAGCAGAAACTAAGATGTTGCAATGGAGAGCAATTTGTCACACAGTCTGTATATTTACCTTTGAAAGAGGAACTTTGAGCACTGTCTTCTGGAATGCTTTGAGCAACATAAGTCTGGGTAGGGCCTAAAACGGGTTGCGTGTCCGACTGTGTTTTCCTGTGGCTGTGCTGTCTGACTGAGTATTTTTAGAGTAGAACGGAATCACTGATTGCAGCTGCCTAAAACCGCCGGCAGTCTGCAGCAAGCAGAAACACAAAAACAAACAAACACAATCTGTTGCTTTCATTAGCTTGCCAACTTTTTCTTCTCTTCTTTTTTTTCCAATTCTGTGTGAACTGGACCAATCTAGAACTGAACGAGTCTAATTGGATTAGGTTATGATTGTACTTGTCTATTGGATGTTCCTGGTCATGCCATTTGCGTCTGATTATCCATTTAAATAAAGTTTAGTGAAATGAACAGGTTTGCATTAAACAAAAGCATGTTGCAAATTGAAGCGAGGGTCAAAGCGTGTCTGAGGAGTGAAATGAAACAAGGCCCCCCGATCAGAACGGATCTCTGACGCTGGTGACGTGTCAGATCACATCTCCACGTCCGCCTCAGCCTTTATTGCGGGGTGTGAACACATGTGGGGGTGTGCGTCTGCCTTTTACACAGCGCTCTTAGTGCAGTTTCTCTCCTTAGGCGTTTATATGGCGGTCATCTATCAAAAGACACGCCCTCAGAGTCATTCACCCATCGGCAGGTGTGTCCAGACCCCGGCGGGCCTTGTTGACACGCGCACAAAGACAGTGACAACATCCCACTGAGGGAAAACTGCCGAGCCATCGCCGCCATCGCCGCCGCCGCCGGGCCTGGCGACAGGCGGCTGAAACAAACGCGGTATCTCTTAGAGACACAAAATGTTGTGGGAACACAGTCATCTGTGGAATTCGTCAAGGTCTCTCCAAGTGACAAATATAGTGGAGCTTGTCTTTCCTCTGTAGACTAAAGTGAACTCTCACACGCTGGCTGCTCTTCCACAATCAAGTCCTGTTTCAAAGTTCTCCTCTACCCTTTGAATCATTTCCAAGTGTGTGATAAATTGATCTATTATCAAATTATGGATTGATGCCAGGCCAGCCGTTGTCACGTAACACACAATACCCCATCCGTGTGAGGCCACTAGAACTGGTTTGTTGCTTGTTGCTGTGCTCATTCGTCCTTCCTCCTGAACCTTCTCTTTTGGCAAGCATGATCTCACCTCCTTGAGAGCTCCTAACACTTCCCCTGCCTTTCCATCATTAAGGGCCACTCTTTGTTTTACTTTGTGTTGCGAATCCTCTTTCCCCCGCTGCACTATCCTTATCAGCAGGACCACAGATTTGGAACGTGTGATACGCAACAGATGAACACACATTTTCCAAAGTGAAAAAAAAAAGGCTGTTAAGAATATCTGTGACCTAAAAATGGAAACGGCTACCATATTTGCAGAAATGTAATAGTAGCTCACAACTAAACGAAGAGTTGAAAGCTGATTCTGTCCATCTCTTCAGTGAGGTTGCACTATGTTAACATGCTTAAATGCTCACAATGCTAATTTGTGTTAGCATGGTGACACAATGTCCCTTTAAAGTAGTAAACATAACATAGGTGAGGTTAAGGGGACTGTAAAAGTAGTTTATAAAGTTTAGTTTTTTCATGCATAATGGTGTTGGATGAGTCATGGCCTAATCACCATCCTTGGTTTAGACATGTTAAAAAATACCTTGCAGCTCCAGTCGAGCACCACCCACCTACTAAAGTCCTGCTTTGAGGTTGAACTTTTGTGGCCGGCTTGTGCTTTGAACTCCTTTTCAGCATTTTGACTTCACCCACCACGTTGCCATCCACTCCCTCAATCTAAATATTTGAGGATCATTGAGTGCAGCGGTCGTCATCGGCGAACACGTCTGACCGTGCGTGTGGACTGACCTCTCTGCAGCCCCCTATGGGAGTCTCTGTTTAGCTGTAAGGCTTTGATATCTGATTCACACAAACCTGGATAGGGCCGAGGCCAAAGTGTCTGAGGTTTGCACCAGTGTACATGTAACCTCAAAAGTTAGCCCCTCAGATTGTATTCTTTGCCTCAGTCCATATAAGGTCATGAGAGCGGAGCCAAAATAAAATCTCCTGAATTGCAGAAGTCTCATACAGGCACGCTCTCCTGACACAGTTTCAGCTCAATCTCACTTCCTCTTTTGTTCACTATGTTTTTTGCTTCGAGGGATGTTCGTGCTCCGCATAAATCTCTGTCAGTCGCACTTGGCATGTGGTGTTCACATACTTCTGCCGGTGTGCCCTGAAGTGTGAAAGCCGGGGCTTTTACTTTGAGCATTTGGTCGAGATCATGTGTCGCAATCATCGCCGTCAGTCAGGGCGGCAGATGTGTGTTCCTCCGGTTCATGTGGGTCATTCAGGCGCACCGGTCAACGCTGCCCAGCGGTATGCCGTCCGGCAGCTATCTGTGTACCCAGGAACGTGACACTGATGTTTGTAATCCTCCTCTGTGTGCCTTGGGTGGAGCCTGGAGGGAACAATGAGTGATTGTCTTCATTTGCTCGAGGAGCTACATTGCCTCACTTCCTTTGGTTGCATTACATCACATTCCATCTTTACGTTGCTATTCTAGGTCTGAGAGGAGAGCGGGAACCAGTGGAAAACCTCGGCGTTTGGTGGCCCTCTGCCTCTCTCCGAGTTGACCCTCGTCCAGCTTCCAAGACGGGGTTGGTGCCCACTCTCACTGGCTCCCAAAGACAGGGCGAACACTTGGAACCGCGTGTCGGCGTGTTTTCATTCCAGCGCAAATGGTGCAAGAGAGCTTTTTGAAGGAAAGCGCCCGCTGGATTATCGTTTGCAGGAGAGGCATTTCTGTAATCTTCAAGGCTTTGGCGTGTTTGGATTGCCCCTTCCTCAAAGGCAGCGGAGCGGTTCTTTTAATGATCACCATCGCATGTCTGGTTAACTCACAATGTCATTGTCATGATATAGCAATCATTTACCATGACATTTATTTTTCAATGTTTTTTTTTTTTTAATAAAGGCTTCCTGCTTTACACTTATCAACCGTTGATTGACGTGCTTAACCGACGTAACCTTATTTCCATCCCTTACGGAGAATGCAAAAAGAGGAGGAGCTCCAGAGGCGGCCGACCCACCTGGCCTGTTTGAGGGCCACGTCTGGCCCACGCATTTGAAAAACAAGAACTTCAGGATGGTGATTTGACACCACCACCTCGAGTACATTTCTGTAGTGTTTTCATCTATGATCACCAGAGAAAAGCCTGTAAGAGGCGAATATGGGGGGGGCGGTATGAGCTAAAGGGGGTTCCACTGTGAACTAATTTGGTGTAATTTGACACGGCTCCTTTTTTAATCAAGCTACGACCACAATGTAAGGAATCACTGCAGAAACGTGAGGCACTAAAACGCATCTCAAATCAGGGTCTCTTTAAAACAAGAGCCCTAGAAACGGAGTCATTATTCTATCCTGTATCCTTGGAGTCTGACTCCTGTTCCTGGACAAGCCCCCAAATTAAGTCATGACCCGGATCAGAGAGCTGCTGGGCAAAAGTTCAAATGCTTAAAAAATGAGAGCACATCCCGCAGAGTTTGGGCAAAAAAACAAACACTTTGAGCTCGACTCCACACCTACCTTTACAGGTGGAGTCAATGGAGGCATTAGGATGTAGTAGGGTCTGACAAAGTATTCATTGACATTCAAATCGAAGATGTAAAGCGTTTGCATCTCCTGGGCACACACACACAGACACACACACACACGCACACACAGACAGAAAAACACAGTTTTCTAAAAAAGAAATTAATATAGAATTAAGAAATCATTAGAAAAGTCTGTCATGTTGATGGGTCAGCCCAGTCATGAGTCTTCTTTGCCTCCAGCACAATGTCACAGAGAGACAGCCCACACCTTTTATGGCATTTTACAGCCTTTTGCAGCCTTCTGTGGTAAGTCTTACTAACAGGTGAAGACATGAATGCATGCCTGAGCTTCTATTCCTGGTTTTAATCCGTTTTCATTCTAATCAGGTAACGAGAACAAAGAAGATGAACATGGCCTTAACGTAATGAGGGGTTTTTGGTATAATAGTGACACTTTTGAGCAGCTTTCAGCCCGTGAACTGGGCTGGTGAAGCCAAAGTGTAACAGGGAGCAGCTGATAGCAGTTTACTGTGATCCTCAGATAAGAGAGGAAACCAACAGGTTCTCAGGACAGGACGCAGATCTGCCGGAGGAAAAAAAAACATAACAAAAGGGGGAAAAAAAAACTTCCAGCCCTGCTGAAGCTCTGATCGAGGCGGGGCGACGGATTTCTGCTTTTTCTTTTTTTTTTTTTTTCGGCAGCAGTCCCTCTCTGAACAGACTCCGGGCCGACATGCCTCCAGCATGACAGCGAACTGGTTTGGCCGGGTGACAGAGGGGGGGTCTGGGACAGCGAAAGGAACCCAGAACTCTGCCAGCAGGTCCCACCTGAACCAGCACCGCGGCGCGGGGAGGGGGAGGCGGACACCGAACCAGAGCACGGCCGGGAGGGGAGATGACCAGTGGAAAGTTTAGGCGAAGCCAGACTTGACGCAGGCGGGGGGACTTCAGCCTTTTCCGGCCTCCGCTGGACGCTTCGGACCCCTCAGCTAGAGTCATCGGAAGCTATCTGACCCAAAAGTAAGTGTCAGTTTTTTTTTTTACAACAGTTTCGGTGGAGAAAATGTTTGTTTGTTTGTTTGCCCCCCGATTGGCCAAAAACGCAAACTTTGTGCGCACCCGTGTTGCTTGTTGTTCCTCGATTTCAGAGCTTTTATAAGATCTTTCTTTTTTGTTTTAGCGGTTCGTTTCCTCTAGTTTTTCTTTTCTAAACTATTTACTTCACGTTGAGTCAGAATTGGAGACTTTTGGCCTGAAGGAGGAGCCACACCCAGAGCCATTTATCTTGCGGTTAGGTCCCATCTTCCCTTTTTTTTCTTTTTCTTTTTTTTTGGTGTTGTTGTATTTTCTTATTCTCCTGTAGTGTTGTTGTAACAGATCTGGTGGTAAGGACTAAATGTCTGAGCAGAATGAGCTCTATTCAGCTCCACGTGTGAAGTGTGTGCTGTCACACTGATATCCGCGGAAGGGTGCAGCCATCGATTTGGAACAGAGATTTATCAAGTTGGAGCGCATCCAACTAGTGTTTGCTGTAAAAAGAGAGACAGAAAAGTAAGAAAACTTTGAGATATGACGCAAATCATGATGACTGCTTTTGTTACATTGGCTGAGGAACAGAAAACCTAATCTCTTTTTGATAAGAACGACAAACAAACACTGCAGATTGAGTCGTTATGTATTTATTGACCATTGACTCCAAAAAGTTTGAAAAGATGTTGATAAACTTTCCAAAAAAGTTTGAAAAGATGCTGATAAACCTCCAGTTCCTGCCAGGAAGTTTGCCTCCAGCCCTCACCGCTTAGCGGACAAACCCAAAGCTAAAGAAAAGGGATTCTGGGGTAGTAAAGGAAAAAACCACAATATTGGATTATTTCGAATTGGAATCGGAAGCCTGAGATTCCTCTCTGTCATTGTAAACCCCGCTTTACACAAGGCATGTGTTTTTGCATCAGCTTTTGATCAAAGTGTGATGTGAAACGGGCCTAAACTCCCTTGAGGTAACAGCCGGTGTCTCCTTGTCCCTGTCTTTTGTCCCACAGCTGCAGCATGGCGCGTCGCTCTCAGTGTTCCTCTGCCGGGGATAACCCCCTTGACCCCAACTACCTCCCTCCCCACTATCGGGAGGAATACCGCCTAGCCATCGACGCGCTGATCGAGGAGGATGTGGAAGGCTACTATCAGTTCCTGCTCAAGGCGGACGTGGTCGACTTTTTGTCCGATTCTGAAATCCGGTACATTCAGAACTCTGTTCAGGCTCCCAAGCAGAGCGGCCAGCCTGAGCTGCACTTCCTGGACAGAGCGGACGATGGCTCCTCGGACACTTACTGGCCCATTCACTCCGACCAGGAGGTCCCAGGTCTGGACCTTGGCTGGCCTCAGATGCATCCCTTCATTGGACCCACTGAGGTTATCACTCTGATAAACCCCCCGGAGCCGGACATGCCCAGTATCAAGGAGCAGGCTCGACGGCTCATAAAGAATGCTCAGCAGGTGGATGTTTTTGCTTTCTTTTTGCCCAGGAGCTTTCGTTTTCCTTCGGTGCTTCGACGGGCTCACTTTCCCATCGCTGTTGTTTATGTTTTTGTGCTCTCATCTGTTTAGGTTGTTGCCGTAGTGATGGACGTGTTCACTGACGTGGACATGTTTGCGGATATTCTCAACGCCGCCCAGAGGAGCGTCGCCGTCTACGTCCTGCTGGACGAGCAGAATGCCCACCGCTTCGTCAACATGGCCGCCAACTGTAGAGTGGATCTGCAGAGCATTCCGGTGAGTTTGACTCAAGACTGACACGAGCAGAACGCTCCAGAGGCCTCATCGTTTTGTGGTTTTGATTGCACCGGTTCAACAGGAGTCCTATCGGTTCTGGAGTTGTTTTAACTCTTAAACTGATAGGAGTTATCAATCAAACTCGGTATGTGCGCCTGATTGGAATGTGAACACGTTTAAAGCTAAATTAGTGTTCGTTGACAGAAATCACATCAACTGCATCGTGAAAATGTAACATTAGTGGAAAAGTGCTTCAAACATTGTGAGATGTTCTGTTTTTTATATGTTTAATCTGTCCTGCAGTTTTTATGCGTGAGAACCGTGGGTGGCATCACGTATCAGTGCCGAACAGGGAAGTCCCTCAAGGGTCAGATGATGGATCGCTTCTTGCTGACCGACTGCAGGGCTGTGCTGAGTGGGAATTACAGGTGGGGGTCCTTTAAATCCCTCGAACTCTTACATCTTTATATCAGTAATCCTAGTACTAAACCCATTCAAATTGCTTTTGTACAACATAACAAATGCATCGAGGTGACCCGTCTTTAATTTAAACTGAATGAGAGAAGTCATTCATTCATTGACACAAAGCATGCTGTATGACTCTAGCGCTGTAATTGCAGGATTACCCAAATAATATGCTGGATGGGTTCAGATCATCCACAATGCAGAATCCACCACTACTTTTTTTAAATGCGTTGAGTTTCTCTTTCGAAAAAAACTGACGGTGCCCTCTTTCCCCTGTCTTTGTCCAGCTTCATGTGGTCCTTTGAGAAGCTGCACCGCTGCATGGCTCACCTTTTCTTAGGGCAGCTTGTGACCACGTTTGACGAGGAGTTTCGGATTCTGTTCGCTCAGTCCCAGCCGCTGGTTCTCGAGCCCGCGCCGGCGCCGGTGGAAGACTTGGGTCTTTTGCATAAGAGGCAATACCCAAACGAAAGAGTTCCGCTGTACCGTGAGCCCAGAAAGTTTCTATCTGTGGATCAAACTGATGAACGGGGCAGACATTCCTACGATGAGCGACAGGAGGGGGATTGGAGGATGATGGCGCTCAAAAGGCAGGAGTCTCTCCGCGGCCCCGCAGATATATACAGTAGGCTCTCGGCGCAGCAGTCGCGGGCGGATCCTTGTTTCGATCAGGGCCCTTCCAGGATCGCCATGCTGGAAAACCCTTCCCTCAAACGGCACTCTTATGCCGAAGGTGCTCCCGGCAAGTACTCCTTCCTGCAGCAGGGAATGCCAGACTCTGAGCCCCACCTAAAGCATTTTTACAGGGGCCAGCAGCCTTATCAGGGACCGGGGCCAGATGTCGAATACAGCGGCTATGAAAAGTTCCGGAACCCAGACTATCACCCGACCGACCAGTACCCTGAACCAGGTTTACCGCAAGATGCACAACCGCCGGAAACCTTTGACCCGGTTCTTAACTATTTATCATCTACCAGAAATCTGGACTTTGAGCAGAGCTCGCATATGGCCGACTTACCATTCAGTTCATCTCACCAGAGAAGGCTGAGTCTAGATCAGCCACACGTGTTTCAGACGTCTCCCACCCCTTCAAACTCGGCTGATCAAAAACCCTTCTTATTAGATCCTGCCGCTGACAGAAAGGATCCGACGGTCAAACAGGGGCTGAGAAACTGGAGGATTAGCTCATATCTGAGCGCATATGAGAATCCCAGAGAAGAGGGGCTGCCAGTGGCACCAGATGTTTTTGAAGAGCCCCCTAATCCCATGCAGAAAATCGCACCGGGCACTGATGTGTCGGCTCCCAAAATACCTAATGTCAGAGAGTTTAAGGTCTCTACGATAAATAGGGTGAGCCAGATGCCAAGCTATGCCAAAACGGCTAGTCGAGAACAGCCAAAGAAATTGCTGGACGAACCTTCTGCGGCGGGGGCAGACCCAAAAAGAACACCCACGCCCTCAGAATTGTCCTCATCAACTGAGGGGGAAAAGACAGAGGAGGCGGAGCAAAAGGAGCCGAAGAGCACTGTGCTTCGAAGGGAGGACTCTTTCAAAAGGAATTACAACGCCGCCCTGCAGAGGAGCTCCAGGCTGAGGTCCTCTCTGATTTTCAGCTCTCTGGACCAACAGCAGTCCCCTCAGGAAGCTGACCAGCAGGATGAGCCTGGCGAGAAGAATGAGACCGCACACACAAAAACTCCCTTTGTTTCTCATGTTTTGGGACAGAGGAGGCCGGCTACGAGAGAACCCATTGAGTGGAGTAAATACATAAAGCCCGCCACGTTTGATGGGTCGTCTGCAGAAGCGTCCAAAGCGGATGACGGGGAGGCGGTGAAGAGCGAAGATGCGAATGATACAAAAGATCCAGGAGCCCAGGATCCGTTAAAACCAGCCCATGTGAAGCAGGACAGTCCTCCGCCAGCAACGCCTCAACCCAAGCTCTCCGAAGCCGAGATGGCAAAAACCGATCAACCGTTTCAACCACCGAAACCCTTCATGCCAACCCAGCCATTTATAGACATGAACGATCCCGATAACAGGCTGATGTTTTTTAAAGAGTTGGCGGCAAAGCGCAAAGCTGAAAAGAGAAAAGAGGAGGAGGCCCGGGCCAAACTACTAGCAGAGGTTGAAAACGCTGCCAGCTGCCAGAAGACAGAGCCCCCTCCAAAAGAAACCTCAGAGTCCGAAGGCTCATCAGAAAACACTGGACCTGCAGGGGAGGTGAGGAAGGCCACAGAAGCCTCTCTCTTTTCAGATGTAGGTCAGCATACCAGAAAGAGGGAAGGTCTCGTCGATAAAGCTTCTCATACCCCCCAAAGCTGCGGTGAACGTGGAGACGTGGACAGCCGCCTCGACACAGGCCTTCAAACCTGTCCGAGCAATCCAGCAGAAGAATGCAGACCTTTTGGAGTGGAGAGCGGTAATCCACCTCCTGTTTCTGAAGCTATCGATGAACGAGACGGTCCAAAACTAGTCTCTGCCTCGGAGGAGTCCGTTTCTGTCATTTCCAGTTCAGTGGAGGTTCCGTCGTCTCTTACTTCAGAGGTTGAAACCCAAAATCCCGACTCGGAGCCGGATGCCGAATCAAGCACTCCGATCCAGTTGAGGGAAAGCTCTTGTGATCAAACTCCACTAGATTCTGGTTCCCAGATCAGCCCCTCCAGCCCAAGGGGAACATTACCTTCTGATACAGTGAAAGAAGACTCTATCTCAGATTATTGTCCAAGCATGAAATCACCAAACGGCTTCAAAACGGGCGTGCAGGCGTCAGTCAGCCCCTTACGGCAAGCATCCTCGCAGTCATTTGAAGAAACTTCAGGCGGCCTAACTCCCCTAGATTCCGCCCCTCAGTCGGCACCTGATACCACGCATCTGGGCTCAGATATCACAGTGACAGAGGAAAACTATAAAGAACATTCTGCCACAACACCTTCAGCTGAGGCCGAGGAGTCTGAGGCTGTTGGATCATTCAAGGATAATGGAACTGACAGCGTATCCCTCCATCTTGGCCCAGAGTCGGGTGCACTGCTGGGTGCATCTGTCTTTGAACCTTCATCTGCGAGTGCTGCAGCCAAAAGTCCGACTCAACCGCCTGTCAGTGAAACGACGGGCTCCCTGTTCAGTACCGACTTCCCCTCCAACGCGGCACAGCTGGAAACGCCTGCTTCACCGCTAGACTCGCCGAGGCATTCCGCCTTTCCTCACCACCTTAACCTGACGGGGCCTGATGGGCTCAGAACAGAAGCGTCAGACCAGTCGCTGTCGCCTCAGGCTGAAAAGGCCCTGGCTGATATTTCTGCATTGGACGGTCTGTCCGACAAAAACCCGTCTTCCAGTGAGACGGGGCCGGAATCGGAGGAATCTCCCAGCGGGCCAGCAGAGCCCGCGTCGGAGGCCTCGGCAGAGCTGGATCTGCCGTGCAGAACGGCTGAGAGCCCTGCGCCGGCGCCGTGCACGTCCCCGGACGGGAGCCGAGCGGAGGACGAGGTCCTGGACACGGACCAGAGCAGACCCGACAAACTGGAGGTGAAAGCCGACGAGCCGGCGAAGCAAAGCACGGCGGAGCCGGCGGACGCGGCCGCGTCCAAGCAGGCCAAATCCGGCCAGTGCCGCTACCACTCGTCCACGGCCAACGTCATCTCCAGCAGCAACCTCAGGGACGACACCAAACTGCTCCTGGAGCAGATTTCCGCCAACTGCCAGAGCAGGAGCGAGAGCACCAAGGAGTCTCCCGTCACCGACGACGAGAAGGAGGACGAGGCGGACAAACACGCCCAGAAAGAGAAGGAGAGGGGCTTCCGGGCGCTCAGCAGAGGTCAGCCCAAGTCCAGTCAGGAGCGCGAGAAGCTGCTGGAGCGGATCCAGTGCATGAGGAAGGAGAGGAAGGTGTACAGTCGCTTTGAGGTATGGATGGCTTATGCTCTGCGTCACCGTTTTGCATGCGCATTTGTTTGTGTCGTAGTAAGTGGTGTTGTGTCCGTGTATCGTTTGAACAGATGGCACCATGAATGGAGTCGGAGAACGTGGAGAGAAGACAAAGTGGGAAAGACTGACCCGTCTCCACAGTGTTTGGAAAAAGGACAGCGATACGGGAGAGGGATCGAGATCCCTCTCTGGGTCCGCAGCAAATCCGCTTTCCAGCGTCAGGGGAGCCTGCCTTGGAACTTTACAAAAACTACCAGCACTAAACAGAAATTATGCAAAGCTGGCCCGGTCACGTGCTCCACAGAGGACTCCTATCTGTGGTCCGGCTACGGTTGTGAAAAGCACGTGGGCTCCGGCCATGCCACGCGTGTGGAGAAAACGTGTTTTTACAGACTGCCTGGGTGAAGTGCAATGTGTGCAGACTGTCTGGGTGGCAGGGCCCATCCCTGCCTTTTTACCGGTGGGACTGCGCAGACTGCAGTGTCTTTTACAGTTAAAGGACGTGTTGTTAAAGTATCAGAGAAAAAGCAGTGACTGGAGTTTTTGCAACGGCAACGTATTTCATTTTGCATGGCAGTCTGATCACTTCCATTTTAAAGATATGTCAATAGCTGCTTATGTTTATCTGCCAAACCAGCAAGTGTGTGAATTCTCATCCATGCATGTGTAAATTAGCAGGTTTTTGTCTATTTGTTAACGTTAAACACGGAGGGAAAAAACTACTTGATTAAAGAAGAAAAGTTGAGCTCATTTCTTTCTCCTGCAGCACTTGGAGGTTATGTCTTTTTCCCCCTTTTTTATGACTCAAAGCCTTTTTCATTCAAATAAAAAAAAAGGTTATATTAAGACCCTGTAAATCCAAACCTTGCCTAAAAACAGGAGGCTGTTTTGTGATGAGCAAACATACTTGCACATTAAAAAAAAGATTTTTTTTAATGAATGAATTGTGCTTGCAGACAATGTCAAAAGTTGCATAGAAACTTAATTGTTTGGTTAATGATGATTTATGGCTGTCTTATCAACATTTGTCTTTCAAGAATAAAATGTTAAAATTTCCTTTTGGCTGTTTGACACCTTTTAGCAGGAGAAGAACACGAATCACTACATAACTATCACAGCTTCTGATGTTATCCAGCATCGCTGGAACAAGGACAGAGCCTTAGATTCATTGCATTGTAAAATGTCAGAAACCCCTTTTTTGTGGAATTATTCCATTTAACGAGATGAAGTCAATAAAACAGCTTCTATTGATCAAAGAAGCTGTTTCTGACACTGATTGAGCATACTCCTAAGGTATCAGCAACAAATCCAAATAGTGCTCTTTCCTCTAGCACCACCCTCAGGACAAAGTATCCTACAACTACAAATAGCATGTGCTTGTCTTTTCTTAGACTTGTCACTGGACTAAATCTGCTTTATTTCAATTTATGTGCCAACCTTGCTGAAGCTATTTGTGGCTTGTAAGGGGCTCAAATTAACCTGATTCCCTCCAACCTTCTTGTTTTCCGATTGGATTCGGTAGATTGTGTGTAGATTGAATACAATATATTTTTTGCAATTGGAACTTATCAGTTCTGGCTTTCTGTGTTTGATTCATTTTGAAAGTGAGAGAATTTCTCTTTCAGCTTTCGGCTGACAGGTCAGGCCTTCTGTTTCTCTTTTGTTTGATTGAATTGGTCTGAAACTATTGGATTTCTATTGCATTACTATTTATTTAGCAAAGACTCTGTGCAGAAGCGTAGTGCTGCAAATTACATAAAATGATCGGCAACTTAATTGAGAGTTTACAGGAAAATGAAGTAATTCTGCTGGTCTGAAGCACTCAGGTGTGTCGGGTGTATATGTCAAGGAAGAAAGACACCAACAATGATTTGAGGGTTATAAGGCCATGTCCAATTTCCACCATTCTAAAGAAAGAACAATATATGTTTTTTGTTTTTTTTGCTGCCATGGGACCTGAAAACTTGTCATTAATTTTATCAGCCACTGACTGCTCTGTGTACTTAAGTAACGCAGAGTCAAAAACAAGGTCATTAGTCAAACAGCAAAAAATTGACTGAAATTGGGTCGTCCAATAGGAAAATTCTCCTCACAAAACATAAACCTATGGGAGACGTTAGCTGTATTTTAAAGGCCCAGTATGCCATATTATTATCAAAAAGTTTTAAACATATTGAGGTTTAACACATCCGGATGGGAAACATGTATCATATTTGTGTAAAGTTGGCCATCAGACAAAGCATCGTTTTAAACTGACCACACTGAGCAGAATCCGGGTCATACCTTGAGAAAATGTATCCTATAGGGAAACAAAAAAAAATCACTTTTGGCACTTTCTGTTAATCCTTTCAGATCAAAGTGACTTGATTTAAACTAATTTGCGATCCGCTTCTGTTGCAAAACACCATGAAACGGATTAGGCTCAATGTGAATGCAGTCACCGTCCAGTCACATGTCCCCATGCGTTGATTATGAAAGAAGATCTCCAATGTTTCATAAGAAACAGTGGGCCTCTTGTCTAGAAATGTCACTTTCTCATGGCTGCTTACAAATGTCTTAATAAGCTTGCGCCGAATCGCGCTAATCTTGAGCAAACTGCACAGCCTGAAGTGCCTCGCTTTAGAAGGGGAAACTCGGGGGCCTGAATTTTGAAGATTAGTTTTTCTCTTCGTTAGATATATTTGTGTCTTTTGATAGCAGTCACATCCACTTTAAGAATGACTTCAACCCTCAGGAGAGTGTACCACATCTCGGCCTTCAGCTGGTATGCTTTTATCGTCAGATATATGGCAGCAAAGGATGGAGAGGAGCTGCCGGCAGGAATCTTTGTGTATGGCGGTCCGTGGAAGTATCTTACCTTCTTGAACCTGGTGAGCACATCAGCGGGGATCACTGTGGTGCAATATCAGGGTTTTGTGTGGGTGTTGATGGGAAATAGTGATGCTTTTGGCCATATTGCAGCTACTGCAAATGACTTTCTTCGGACTGGCAGCTGTGAACGACGTTCAGCCGGAGAAAAACACAGCAAGCACCCTGAGCAGATGTAAAGACTTCCTGTTCTCTGTCTTTGCTTTTCCTGTAGGCATGGTAAGAAATCTTACTAAATTCTACATTTTCTAGAAAAAAATAAAAACAAACTTTGCTCTAACTATTTTTTCTGCCTTTTCGTTTAGTTTGTGGTTGTACTTTTCTGGATGATTTTTGCCTATGACAGAGAACTAGTCTACCCAGCTACCATTGACACCTTTTTCCCACCTTGGATAAACCACGCTATGGTCTGTGACCCCACGTTCATCAGTGTGCCGTTTGTTTCATGATTCAGCTGTTCTGGACTATAATGACCTGCTTCTGCTGTGTTGTGTTTTTTTTTTTTTTTATTCTCAGCACACATGTGTCCTTCCCGTTTTACTGGGCGAAGTGCTGGTGCAGCCTCACGCCTACCCACGGACCAAACACGCGCTGGCAGCTTTGGGCGTTGTGGGCTTGGCTTATCTGTCTTGGTAGGTGCTGAGTCAGCTAATGCATGACAGGAATGAATAAAAAGAATCGGCATATGTCTTAAACAAACCGGAAAAAAAAAACGGAAAAAAAGGGAATTTCTCTTGGTTTTGACCTCCGTCACGTAAACTGAATCTGAGGCCAAAGGAGAAAACGCTGTAGTGTGTAAATGTGTCTTTGTCTGTGCTGTAACCAGTCCAGGCTCGTCTGGTGCGTCAGTGTGCAGGAGCTCACAAAAAAGCAAACATACCGAGGGAAAAATGCTGCCTTCAAACCTTTGTCTTTTGTGGCGTACTTACAGTAATGCAGCTCTCAGCCTGCGGCTCTTTGCAAGTTTTGCTGCACAGACTGTAAACAAGCAGCTATAACGAGTGATTTCAATAAGACTTTTCCTTTTATTAGAGTTTTTAATGCTTTCTGGTGGTTTCAGTCAGAAGTGCAAACAGACTGACGTGCAAAAATGACTCATATTCTTAGCTGAGATCAAAATGTTCAGCGTTCTGCTCTTGTTTCTCCTCTGTACAATGGCAGGATTATATGGGTGTATTTGTCCGTGGGGGTTTGGGTGTATCCCCTTCTTGGGCTCTTCAGCACTACTGGGCTGGTTCTTTTCTTCTTCTTTAACATGTCTGTGGTGACCTTGCTCTACCTGCTCGGGGACAAGCTCAACAGCCACGTCTGGGGTAAGATGCACTGACTTAATCACAAAGAATCCCAAGTTTCCTTTCTTCAATCCATTCTGTTGCCGTACTGTTCATTATTTTTTGGTTTCTTCCGCTCCAGGAAAGGAAAAAGCAAAATAATGACCCATTCATTCATGCCAACTGCCACTTTCTCCACTGAAACTCCATCAGCAACACTCTGAGACGTACACCTACAGTGTGAAACCATATTTAAACATTATTTAAAGCTAGAATTTGATACTGCGTAATGTAACATGAACATGGAAGCAGCGCAATAAAGCACGTTCAACTACAGCACATCGGTTTCTTCTCTTTAACTTGATATGATTCTGGTTTCAAAAACATTTTCTTATTGAACGCCAAAAAGTCAGTAGCTGTGCAAGCGAAGACAATGCATTAAGGATCCAGTTGAACAGGAAAATGGAAAGGGGGTATGTTTTTCCAAGGACTGTGGAACTTCTGGAGGAGCTGCAAAAAGAACCTTTAGTCCAAAACACCAAAGTAAAAAGTGGAATGGGTTAGATTTGATTATAAATCTTTGTACATCTCCAGGAAAACTTTGGCATTTACATCCATTTGTCGCTTCTTCTTCTTTCTTTTCTTTTTCTCTCCAAAAAGAAAATCAGCTTCCTGTCAAGTCTCGGTAGCCTTTCAGGTGCTGGAGGTAGTTTGGATCGGCATCCACAAGTCCAACAGAGAGAATCTTTGTCAGTAAATGCAGATCATCGCCACTCAGATCCTTCTGTTGATGAATGATATGAGTGTCATATACTGGATCTGATTTATTAGAATCTATTCAACGTAGGGAAACTACTCACCATCTTGCTTCCAGAAGACTCAGAAGCTTGAGCTTTTTGGTTTTTCTTTTCCTGTAAGCAACAATGATCATGTCAGAAAATCAAATTGGCTTGTTTAGTTTTTTTCTCAAAGTAAATTAAAAGTGAGTACTTTAAAACAACATTTTTCCACTGTGCAAAAGAGAAACAATCATTGAAAGCATACCTGTTTTAGTCCTTTGGAAAACCAAAATATGATGAAAATCAACCCGGCGACAGTCTGAACAAATGAATAAGGACAACAGTAAGTGCCATGTCAGTCAGAGTTCTCTTTAGAGAAGAGCTACAACTCTACAAATAAAGTCAATTGAAATAATGTGAAAATGGATCTTTACTCACCCCGAACAAATGCAACATGTTCGCTTCTCTTGTTTCTGTCCTGCTTGTGCTCTGTGTCGTCCCTTCGAGCGAACTATATAACTATACATCAGGTTCCAGTGCGTGGGTCACAATACTGAAAACTCCCCAGAGAAACCAGCTCAACAGGACAGGCCGCATGTCTAGAGGCACCTGAATGTGCCTCTTAAAGATAAACAGTTAATCATGGGACAAATCTTCTGTTACGCAAATGTTTGTGTCAAATGTGTCATTGCTGTGACAAAGAGAGCGATAATTGACTTGGATTTTTCAACGCAGTTTTTCCACTTTAGACTTATGACATGCAAATAGACAAAAGACAAGGAGTATCCCTTTTTCTCTATGTGTCACATCTCATCTTCAATGTATAAAAGAAAACACTTGGGAAAGCGTCAAGGCAGCCACGGCTGTCATCATCTGTGAATTCTAGATATAACCAACCCATTTTTATCAATACTATAACATATTCATTCTTAAACTGTTCAGGGTAAAATGCTTTATTTCTCAAGGTAAAGATAGACACATCTGGTGCGACTTCTCTCCACCTACTGATTCAGCTCATCTTTGTTAATTAAAATAAACCTCTCCCCATAAAAATAGTCTCTTGGTTTTGATTTTGGTGTACCAATGTTTAGTCCAATTTAGCACTTGAGATTTATGAATAGTTGTTCATCTGCTCTGATCTGTCTGACTGTGGTCTGTGGTGGACTGCAGCCCCCCAGAAAGCCTTGTTGGATAGAACAAGCATAGAAAATGGAAGGATTGATGGATTTATGAACATGAAAAGCAACCCGGATCTTGCCCTCACCATGAGGAGCCTGCGAAGGTATGAGGAACTATGCCTGGTCTTACGATAAGGAAGATGTCCTGTAGGTAAAAGAGAAAATGTGAAGCTTCTATGAAATAGAGGGGTTCTGTTTTAGCAGATAAGCGCTTGTTATAATTTACAAATTTACACATTTCAGTTGTTCATTTGTACGTTCAGATCTATATTTTTAAAGATTGTACTTTTTAGTTTTATAATTTCTGTTCTATATTTTTATTTCTACATTGCATGTCCTTTCTTGCTTCTCATAGAAGTGTTGTGCACCAAACACCAAGGCATTCATTGTAAGTGAAAAACCTACTTGGCAATAAACTTTAATCTGATTCTGATAAAGTGTGTTTGTGTGCACTAAAGTAAAATAAGGAGTTGCTTCCTCCCCTTTCTGTATCCGTGTCTGCTCTTGAGTCATAAGATATTTTGAGTGAGATCACTCAGATAACATGGAGCTTTCATCGCTCTCCCACTGAGTTAAATGAGTGCAGACTGCTAATTGCACGTCCTAAATGCTAACGTTTGATTACCTGTGTCCCCAGTGGGAAAATGACTCTGTTAAAACCTGAAATCCCCAGAGGCGATGTTCTTCACCTCCTAATGACACCTTTTATCTCTTTGTGTGCAAACCATTAAGATAAAATGGAAGATTTTCTTTTAAAGCACTTAAACCCTTGCTAGTACACCTACTTCACAGGAAATACTTTAGACTTCTGAGGAACGGGAGGAAAACTATTTGGCAAGATTTGCAAGAAACATAATGGAAAAGTACATGAGACAACAGGGGTGAACAATCTGTGTTCAGGATATAAATTTAATTTCACACATAAAAATATATATGCACAATTAATAGTTGCAATGAATACATTTGATCAGGAATAAAAGGCAGAGAAGAACCAAAATAATTATTCATTTAGTTTAAAATCCATTTTAACGCAATTTGTTACCTTTTTCACTTCTCCTTTTTTTTTTCTCGGAATTTTATTAAATAACTACTGACAGTTTATTTGATCTGTACAAAGATATTTGTAATGTCTATATCCATAGTTTTAAGGTTTAACTCCAAGGTTCAATGTGAGCCTTTGTGGACATGGATGTATTTTTCTCCATTCCACAAGAGGGAGCCAAATACTTCACAGACCCATTTACAGTGATTCCATTAAACTAATAGGATTCTGGTTTGTGATGTCAAACATGTGCCAACAGATAATTTTCTGGATCTTTCCAGGAGTCACCTAATTTCTCAAGAGGACTAAACATCAGTTGGTGATTATGGTGATTAATAAAGGGTGTGATGTTTAGTTACCTTTTTGACAACTGACATTCTGCTTCTTTTCACCCAGTGAGGCAAGAATCTATAAGTTTATTAGATAAATGATTATAACTTTAATCATTTTAAAGAAGCAGTGTTGTTAAAAGTGTGTGTGTGCGTGTGTGTGTGTGTGTGTGTGTGCGTGTGGGTGTGAGTGTGTGTGTGTTTGTGTGTGTGTGTGTGTTGTAAAAGCAGCATGTATGCATATCAGCGCAATCGCAGTTACACGCATGCGCTCGTTGTCCATCGAGAACATGTTGGATGATTCGCGACATTTCTTCACTCAACATTACGTTTACGTACAAAAATGTATAGAAACTTCCGGTTACAAGGAAAAGCTTTAAAAGTAAAGCTCACAACGTTTACTCATTACGGTCTTTTTTTTATTTATGTTTATAATGAACTCATTTGGACGAAGTCTTGCAATTGTTCTGCTATTGCTGCCATACTTTATTCAACGTACAATGTATATTTGCTCTTTTGTGCTCCACTAGCACCCCGCCTTCAATAAAGCTACTTTTATACCCGAAAGAAATAGCGGAAAGGTAGGGTTTAATATAGGACACATAACACCTACCGTAAAAGCCCCGTTCAGCAGTTGTTGACAGAGTTTTGGGGTGGAGGAAATGAGTGTAATTTATTTAAGAACACGCTGAAACTTGATTTTTGATATTGAATTCAGAAAATGTGCAGCCGTGTGCATTTGTAACAGTTGGAATAGACACTGAGCGAAAACACTGGAAGTCAGAGCTGCTGTTGGATCTTGGGAGGATTGGTAGGATTTGTATCTTGTCTTTGAACTAAACCGTTACTCAAACCTGACCTAAAATTAGTCAAGATAACATCTTTGATAAATATGTAGCAACTTGGAGGTTTGAGTAAACAAATGGAGGAGTCATTAGAGTATATGGTTTGATCCCGAATGCTGAAGATGCATGACACCGATAAGTGCCCTTCTGAGGGAAAAATGTCCGAATCAATGTCTTTAACTGGTCAAGCAGGTTAATTTTAAATGGAAATACAGTTAGCAAGCGTCCAGTAAGTGTAAGTGTCAAGTTGGTTAGGTTGGGTTAGGCACAACAGATTAGCCTAGCTTAAAATCACTACGCAAAGGAAACACCAACTGACATGCTAGCTGCCTGTTGGCGGTGAGACCTCCTTCCAAAATGGTCCTTACGCATGTTTATATACATTTGACACACGATAGTTTGGCTCTTGTAGTCTATTTATGGTATTTAAGATGAGCCGTCCAAATTAGGTTGGGTGAGGTACTGTAAATCATTTAATATACATACACAATGTAAGATATTAGCTTTAACCCATAAAACATAACATGCTCAACTTAAATGTGGTGTAAAATGAAACTAGCCAACCTAACTCCACCTCTCGACGTAGTTGTAGTTTCCCAGCTTAGCATAATCGGTTTGGAGCCCTACAGCTCTAACGTTTCACTGATGTCGTAAGCCAAAATGACATGCTAATTTTTAGAATCTCAAAAGAAAAAAAAAATCGCCCATAATGTGGTTTGTTTATAATTTACGGAACAATATTCTAGTTTGTATTAAAATGATTATCTTCTGGTCAAATGTGAAGTTCTGCAGAATTATAAGACAGGTCGAAATTAACAAAAAATAGAAAAATAAAAATAAAGATATACCTGCTTTTGTGTACTGTTAAGATGGTAGGCACAGATGTTTGTTCCATATTTTCCTAATGACCAAAATCTTTTCTCACAGAGGCAGAGATCCTTGTGGCTGTCCTAGAAAACCATGCTGTGCTGGGGAAATGCCTCCTTTGGGCAGCTCGGCTTGGGGGGGATTGACGAGGAGATAGTGGTTGAGCCGCGGAAATGTGAATTCTTTCACGGGAAGCAAGTGACAGACGTGGGCTGTGGCCGCCGGCACACGGCGTTCCTGCTGGAGGATGGGACCGTGTACACCTGTGGCTGCAATGACCTGGGACAGCTGGGCCACGAGAAGTCCAGAAAGAAACCAGGTTGGTGGTATTGTATTCTCTTACCATTTGGAGAAACCTATCTCTGATGCAGGTGTTTTTGTCCTGGCCATTTATCAGAACAGGTGGTGGCATTGGACGCACAGATTATCATGGCGGTGTCGTGTGGGGAGTCCCACACGCTCGCCCTGAACGACAAAGGGCAGGTTTTCTCTTGGGGTCTTGGCTCAGACGGTCAGCTGGGCTTGAATAACTTTGAAGAATGTATTCGTGTGCCCAGGTAAACCTACCTTTGCCTTTTCACAGTAACGTACCGGTTACCTCTGCTTTGTGTTACACTTTTGCTTTCATTTTTCAACTGTTTATGCTCACATTGAATTCTGTGCTTTTATTTTCTCACTAAAATAAATTCCAGAAACATCAAGAGTTTGTCAGAAGTACAAATCACTCAGGTAGCTTGTGGGTCTTGGCACTCTCTTGCACTATCAAAAGGTAAGGATGTGTTGTTTTTAAATTCCATTTAAACATGAATTTATTTGTAGAGCTTTCCGTGATTTTATCTGATTAATCTGAACCTTTTTTCACACAGGAGGCCAACTCTTCTCTTGGGGCCAGAATCGATATGGCCAACTCGGGCTGGGACTAATTGGAAAGAGCATCTCCACGCCCCAGATCATCCAGTCTCTTCAGGGCATTCCTTTTGTCCAGATATCAGCCGGTGGTACTCACAGCTTCTCTCTCACGCTCTCAGGAGCGGTGTTTGGGTGGGGGTGCAACAAGTTTGGCCAGCTGGGTCTCAATGACTGCAATGGTGAGCTGTTAAAATCCCCAAACTGCTCATGACTCACTGAAGCCCTGAATGCGTGCTGATGATCTGGGGTTGTTTTCGCAGACCGGTGTTTCCCAACGCTCCTGAAGTCACTGAGGTCACAGAAAGTCATTTACGTCTCCTGTGGAGAAGATCACACAGCAGCACTCACAAAGTTAAGTTGTTTTACATTTTGTTTATGTGAGAAATATATGGAAGATTTTAGTTTTAAGATGTTCAGATTTTTTTTTTTTTTACTGGACTGTTCTGCTCCACACGGTGGGACAGAGACCATGCTCATCCTCCTCTGTCTGCTCCAACCTCATAATCACTGCTGACCTTACAGGAAGGGGGCGTGTTCACTTTCGGAGCCGGAGGATATGGACAATTAGGGCATAACTGCACAAACCATGAAATCAACCCCAGGAAAGTGTTTGAGCTCATGGGAAACGTGGTCACGCAGATCGCATGTGGAAGGTAAATCTACAGTGCACTCTCACACGTTTCCTCTGGGATGGGATGAGCTGTCTCCCGGCACGCGTCATGTTTTATTATCGGGTTGTGGGTCACAGGGGTGTCATGGAATTGAATTGAAATGTCTCGTACGAGCTAAACATTTTTCAAATGACTGTGCCATTGAAAGGCAACACACGTTGGCTTTCACGCCCTCCTGTGGGAAGATGGATTCCTTTGGGCTGGGAGGCAACGGTCAGCTTGGTACGCGCTCCACATGCAACAGAAAAAGCCCTGCGCCCGTCAAAGGGCCCTGGGTAGCCACCGGCGCTTCAGCAGAGGGGGGTGAGACATATTCAAGCTTCATCCAGTTATTTCTGATGCTTAATAGTTTCTCATTGGAGGTTGCTCTCCATGTTTTGTTTGAAAGCACCTCTTTTTTTTTTTTCTTTTTCTTGAAACGATGAACTCCCCCTGTCATAAAGGGAGGCCTGAAGAAAAATGGTCATATCAAGCCCAAAAAGGCAGGATATAGCCTGGAGTTTTCTCATGCTAACTTCTTTTATCAATTCTTTTTGCAGACATGAAACAAAGCTGTTATGTGAAAAGAATCTATGCTGGAGGAGATCAGAGCTTTGCTCACTATTGCACTTCGGCTGTAAGTATGAATAAAGATCAGGGACTTTGATTTCGAAGTTGATGCTTTGTACGTCTTTAGTCCCATTCGTTGTGCCCACGGTGCTTTCAATAGACAGTAATTGAACATCTGAAATACTCTCACTTTCCAACCAAAATCAAAAAGGGGCAGTATCACCACATCACACATAATCACACAGCACTTTAAAGTCTACCTACAGTAATTAAAGGGTAAGCTGTTCTTTTTTTCTCTCACAAACATCCCCCACCGATTAGCCAATGGGAGAAAACGTGGGGCTCTGTGTCGTACCAAAGAACACTTAAAAATGTGTTCTGGGATCATTATAAGACGACTGCTCTTCCTTTAGCGCTGCCCTGAGCATGAGGATTTGATTTGAGGTTTTGAAACACAAGGCAGGAAAGAGATGATTTCTACGGGCGGTTGGTTGAATGTAGCATCTGCAAGTACATACATTTTGTATTTAATTAGACAAACTATACATCAGAATCACTATAAAATGGCATTACCTTTTTTTTTTTTTTTTTTAAACACCTCCTTTTACCTTTTTTGAGCCTCAAAGAGAACAAGGATCTATGTGTATGTGTGTAACATGTTAGCATGCACTATGTGGAGACGTTTTTTTTTTTTTCAAATGAGTCGAGCAGCATTTTAAAGGCAGGAATCAACTGGTTAAAATTAAATGTGAGTTGTTTTATTCTCAACTTTGAGGTTTCTCTTTAATTTCTTTTTTATGCTTTGTTTTTGTAGAACCTTCAGAGCAGAGATGACGGCAAGATGCAAGACGTCAATAGGAAGATTTGCTCCCTGAATGAGGTCACCGTACAAAAATGGCTGAGCCCCTCACCAGGAAGACTCCCACCAGAAATCTCCAAGTAAAGTCTCCTCCTAAAAAGAACCCGGCATAGTGTTCCTTGGTGTAGTTTGGGTCATTGAAGTCAGAAGTCTTTCTTTTTTTTTTGTTGTTTTTATTATGTTTTTGTTTGTTTTTTATGTTTAACGAAGAAAGCTCACATTGTAGAAGTGACATTCAGAGGTTTGGCTGTAACAAGACGCCACACACACGTGCGTTTTGTGATCCCTTTTAGTGAGATTGACCTGGTGTTCTCCTCAGCGAGCTGCCTGAATGGATCATTCCTCTCAACAAGGTAATGGCACTTTACCCAAAGTATCACCGTGACCCCCCCAAACACGGGAACCTGTTTGACTAAAGCGTTCCGCTCTCCACACAGTCATCCAGATCACTACAGCACCAGCGGTAAATGCTCAGGGGTGGATATGAACAGCGCTCGCGTACTGTTCCACAGAGTCATTCAGCCGGACCGGCCGGAGATCGCTCAGCAGGTCAGCAGCACCGGACGATGAACCGATGGGCCCAGCTTCATCGGGGTTGTCAGCTTTCTTTGCTAAGTCACAAATCAGGGTCTGGAGTTGATTCCAATCGTTGAATTTGTATTTTCAGAGCTTGGTGTGGACAGTGCAAATAAGCATTCCAAAGAAGTGTCGATGCAAGCGACAACAAGCCTTTAAACAGAAAAAAATGAATGAAAATGAGCCAAAGAGATGTCGCACTCTTTAGGTATCATCCAATTAAGAAAAAAAAGCTTAAAAAAGATGGACAACACAAGGAACCTCAAAGACAGGCAACTCAGTGGTGAGGTCTACAATCAGGATACGTTGTCCTCCTTTAAAACGCAGTGGACGCTAACTGGTGATGCTCCAGTGCAAACGCCACATCAAAGCTCGTCTGCTACTTTGAATAAATGACATGGCCAGGCTCAGAACGCCTCTTGTGCAAATGCTCAGCCACCACCAGCACCTGCTTGTTCCCAGGCCTTCTCCCTTTAAGCTTCGTCTTCAGCACGCAAAAAGGCAAAACTCAGTCGGATTTAAATCCACTGCTAAAGTTAGCATCTACAGCTCAGAGTTCATTGGGAAGTTGAACACAGTCTTCGTAGTAGACACACTTCACCCCGAAGATTGTTTCTGATCTGATTTACTATATTGAGGATTCTTCTCTCAGTAATGGAGATCTTCCTTGACCCCATCAGTCCTATTGTTCTTCTAGAGCTCTCTGGTGTATTATGTTTCTCAGTGACACTGACTGGGATAACAGCTAATTTAAATGATCCAAACGTTGACAAATCCAGAATCGGAAGAGGATTGAACCAGGGCTTGTTGCTTTTAATTGTAGCAGGTGTGTGTTCTTCCTCCTGTCTGCCTCAGGTCGCTGCCAGTTTGGAGAAGAACCTGATTCCACGGCTGAGCAGCTCTCCTCCAGACATCGAAGCACTCAGACTCTACCTCACTCTTCCAGAATGTCCGCTGTTCAGCGACCGGAGCAATTACGTGACCATCACTATCCCATTTGCCAAATGCGTCCTCAGCCTGAAAGAGGCGCCGCTAAAGGTGTTAGGTAGGACAAAGTATGTTTTCTAACCGCTTTACTTTCTTTCTTTTTCAATTTGAATTTAAGGGATCCACGCTTTACGCTTAGGTCTGTGACAAACCATTCTCTCTCGTTTGCATCAGGAAACTGGTGGTCCACTTTTGAGCCCCCGGCCTTCCAGAGGCTGGTCAATTTATACAAGGAGGTGGTGGTGTACCTGCTCCAGATGCAGAAGGTGGGCATCCCCGCCGTGGAGCAGCGGATTTTCAGCTGCTTCTTGGACACGTCCCTTCGATTCCTGGAGATCCTGCACAAGGTCAGAGACCCAACCAAAGCGGAGTCTGTGGCTTCCTGCCTCTCTCCTCTTATCTGGAGGGATTATTAATGACCTCCCCCCTCACTTCCATGTCCTCAGGTGAACGAGAGAGCAGGGCACATCATTCAGTATGACAAGTTCTACATTCAGGAGCTGGACGACCTGATTGACATCAGAAATGACTACGTGACATGGATTCAGAGGCAGATGTACCCACTGGTGGGTCAGTTGTTTGTGACATGTCTGGTTTTGCTTTTCGTTTAGTACGTTTGTGCCTTGATGTTTTATGTTTTTTGCTCTTGTATGGTTAGGGTCATGATGGCGTGGTCACTCTGTGCAAGTATCCCTTTGTATTCGATGCCCAAGCCAAGACGGCGCTGCTTCAAACCGATGCCGTCATACAGATGCAGGTAACCCACGCGGTCTGGAAGCGCTCGCTCCACAGCAGAGCGCCAGTCGCTCATCAGAACCTGTGTTTCCGCGGGTAGATGGCTGTGGATCAGGCGCAGATGCAGAACTTCAGCTCCATGTTCATGCCGGCCGTGGAATCGGTCAACCCGTGCCTCATCCTCATCGTTCGGAGGGAAAATATTGTCGGGGACACCATGGAAGTCCTGAGGAAGTCCAAGAATGTTGACTACAAAAAACCGCTGAAGGTGAGAAATGTGAAATCAGCGTGGATATGTCATGCCGTTCGCTCGAATTTTCGGCCTCTTTTCCCTATCCTCTGCGCCACCGGGCTGAATGTTGCGGTTGTCTCTCGGCAGGTGATTTTCGTGGGAGAGGATGCAGTTGATGCAGGAGGGGTGCGAAAGGAGTTCTTCCTCCTCATTATGAAAGAGCTTCTGGATCCCAAGTACGGGATGTTCCGCTACTACGAGGAATCCAGGCTCATATGGTTTTCGAACAAGGTGCCAGCACAATCCTACACCCTGAACCAGCGAGGCCCACTGAGGCTCCACTTTCCCCCTACAATAACCCACTGTCCCTTACAGACCTTTGAGGACATCGATTTGTTCAACCTCATCGGGGTCATCTGCGGTCTGGCCATCTACAATCTCACCATAGTGGAGCTCAACTTCCCTTTGGCTCTTTATAAAAAGCTTCTGAAAAAGAAGCCAACGCTGGACGACCTGAAAGAGCTCATGCCAGACGTAGGAAGGTCGGTGCTCTTTAAGACTTTTTTCTTCTTTTTTTTCTTTCTATTATTTCACTCCCTCACAAATATCATGTAAATATCTCCTCCATCTAGGAGCCTGCAGCAGTTACTTGACTACGCAGAGGATGATGTCGAGGAAACCTTTTGCTTGAATTTCACTGTAATGTCCTTTTTCAGTCGCCTTTTTTTTGGTCAACTGTGAAACAAAGAAAAGTAAAACAAAATGTGTTTTTTCCAGATCACGGAGGAAAATTATGGTGCCACAGAGGTCTTGGAACTTGTTCCAAATGGCGAGGAGATCAACGTCAACAATGCAAACAGGTGACATTTGCAGTCGTCTCGCCTCGTTGGGTGAAACCTTCAAGTAGAGAAAGGCTGACTCTGTATTCTCCTCCCCCAGGCAGGACTTTGTCAACGCCTACGTGGACTACGTTTTCAACTCGTCGGTGGCCCCGCTGTTCGAGTGCTTCCATGCGGGCTTCCACAAAGTCTGCGGTGGGAAGGTTTTGGAGCTGTTTCAGCCGAGCGAACTGCAGGCCATGGTCATAGGAAACGCCAACTACGACTGGACGGAGCTTCAAAAGGTCTCATTTGTTTTTAAAACTGTGATACACAAGAACGTGTCATTTTGTTCGCGTGGCAGAAAAGGAAAGAAAAAAAACACGGATGAAGAATAATCTTTGTGTGTGCTCCTCAGGGCACCGAATACAAAGGAGAGTACTGGGCCGAGCATCCCACCATCAAGCTCTTCTGGGAGGTGTTCCACAATCTTCCTTTAGAGAAGAAAAAACAATTTCTCTGTAAGTGTGCAGCAAAAAAAAAAAGCTCAAACTTACTAAATGAGTGTTTTCATCCTGCTGAATTCCTTTTTTTGTGGCATGTCTCCAGTGTTCCTCACAGGAAGCGACCGCATACCCATATTAGGCATGAAAAGCCTGAAACTGGTGATCCAGCCAACCGGTGGAGGGGAGCAGTACTTGCCTGTAGCTCACACCTGCTTCAACCTGCTGGACCTTCCCAAGTACACAAGCATTGAAACACTCAGAGAGAAGCTTTTAGAAGCAATAGATCACAATCAAGGCTTTAATCTGGTTTGATGGTAGAGGGGAAATGCCACGTGTTCAGACTGTTGATGGTAACCACATTACCAAAGGTTTTGCGTGAAAGACTTTCTTTTTTTGCCCTTTCTCCCCCCCGACTCAAATCAGCTGTTAATACTGGACATTGGCAAAAAAAAAAAAGGAATCCATACGACAATGCAAAGCAATGAAGTTGGATGTCCACAGTTTCACATGAATGTTGACTTGCCAGTGTTTCTTTCTTTGCCATCACAGTAGTCTATGCCCTGCGGAAAGGGGATTCACATTTGATATATCTCATGTAGATATGCTTTTATCCATGTTTGGACAGTGCAGGTTTGATGAAGCAGATTGCCGGTATGTATCCTGCGGAACAGGCCTTGCAAACACCAATATGATTCCTGGAAAATGCAGTGACATGCAGCTGCACCTCCCCTATGAAGCTTAAAATCTAGTGTTAGTGTAAGACATTTTTTTGAACAAAAATTAAACAACAAGCACTTTGTTGATCAGCAGCAAGTCACTGAATTTTCCAAGAGTTATGTCCTGTCCCTGTATATTAAATGTTTGAATCTAGACGGTGTGAACAAGGTCTGGGTGTTTCAGATGATCTCCACTGTAACATTTGATTGAGGGCAGTATGAACAATTAGCTCTGGATGCTAAGTTGATTATCATTGGCTGTATGCCTTAAAAGATCTATAAATGAGAATCAAAGTACAGCCGGTAAAATAAATGCTACTTTGAGGGTAAGGAACTGTGTTTTTTGTTTTTGTTTAAGAGTTTCTCAGAGGAACATCTTCTCAAATATGGGCCAGCCACATTACGGCACTTGTTGACATCACACTGGTCAGTCTCTAGAATTGGATGCTTTTCTCACTTACAGGTGTTTATTCCATAAGCTAAAAACAACAAACACTATGAAAACTAAACCCTATGAAATAATGGATGGAAGCCATTGTCATCATCGAGGTCAGTTCTGACCTGCCCCCCCAGCAGAACCCCCATAACAGACTGCCATTAAAACACCACACTTGAGATTCATATTTTAATCAAACTGTACAAGTCTAATGAGCACACATTGAACTTTATGGCTCTGAAGGAGGAAGGCACACGGCTGTCTTTTCAGTGGGGGAGGTCATGATGGACCAGCTTGTAATGGGAACCACAGGAAGGACAGCGCTGGGCATCTCCCTCGTGAAGCCAGAACCACACAATAGCAGTGTTGTCCTCCTCACCTGCAGGAAAAATTCAATCCTGAACGACCTGACTGCACAATAGAAAGACATCAGTCATCAAACCCATAGCCTTAGAAAGGTTACGTACAGAGACAGCCCACCAGCCTCTTATTTGAAATGCTTGGCACAATATGAGGGTCGTCCCTGGTACCAGCATAGTGTTGGGGCTTTAGTATGCTGTAGGGATCCTGTGGAGGAAACGGATGGAAATTTGAGTCCATGCTGGAGCTTCTGAGCAGGGTTGGAGTGCTGGGCAGCTTACCTTTCCCTGTTTGAGGGCTTGGAGGGTGCGTCGCTCCAGCCCGGTGGCCTGTTCCTCATCAGTCGGTATGCCTGAAAATTCATGATAAACTGTAAACATCAGGCCGTCACATTTCAGCTCAGAAACTAATGGCAAAGTGGGAATGGCATGTGTTGCTAAAACTGCACTTTGTCACTGGACACCTCCCACAGATAAACACGCAGTCCTCTACCAGGATGTTGGCATTAACCCAACAAAACCTGCCAAAGAAGGTGGGCCGACTCAAAAGGCCTCTCCACAAGTCAGTCCAAATGACCTTCATTTTCCTGTCCTACCCCGTTCCCATATTTATGTGATGGACGATTAAACTCGGCACAAATAAGAACAACCAAAGGACAGGAATAAATATTTTGTGTCAGTGTGAACGGAATAACAGAGAACTTTAGCGTGTGTGGTTTATTATTATAGTTAGCAAGAAAAGTGCGCAACAAGCTGAACTGGCCTTATTTATACCAATACAACTTTGGTAAACCAGCCTTGGTTGGCCTATTAATCAAGGACGGTTGGGCCTTTCTTGTATTTTTAAGCTTAAATACATATATTTTATATACCTACCTCCAACTGAGGCCATAGCACGGTGTAGTGGTCTTGCCACCCTATTTCTTCTGAGCTGTAATGCTGTAGTCGTACAGGCTCGGAGGAGCAGACGTCCCGCCATTCTGCCGTCTGTATCACGTACCGAAAATGACCCGATATCACACGGGTGTTCGCTGGACTGAAATGACCCTATCACAACCGTCTGAGTGACAGGCTGTGGAACCAATCAGAATAGGCACGCAGCTGGCATGGCCAATAGAATTTAAGAGAACGCGGGACTAGGAAAAGAGCAACTTACCAAAGTTAAATCAAATTCTTACTGCTGTTAATCACCCAAAGAACGCAAATAACGCTCTGCTAACTTCGTAGAAGGTACTATTCAATAAAATTAAGATTAGTTATATCTATACTTGAGCTGTACAATACATACATGATGAAACATCAAAAGAAAATAGATTTAAATTAGGTTGGTGTGTATATCTGCAGCTATACATGGAAAAAAACTTATCTTTGACTTCTAGGGTTCAAAATGTTTTAACAGATCCTAAAATGAGGTATGCTTTATCAATAGTAATGAAAACATTACACTTTGGTTAATCATTTAACAAAATAATCCACTGGAAAAGCCTACAACATTAAGATAACTGATCAGCAAATGTGAGCACATGAAAAAAAAGTTATGTCAATTTATTTTCTTGAAGGATTCTTTAGGTATGATATTAGAATACAGAAAATGACTACTAGTAGCCGCGTTTCCTGCCAAATAAATGTTTTACAAGATATTGAATCAATTGGATGGCATAGTGCAGGTGGTGTCCAGGTGGAGGTGCTGTAGCAGGAGAAGAGAGCTGCTGTTGAGTATGAAAAGAAAGGACAGGGTAGAAGCGATGAAGCTGGTGTGGATGTAAAACCGTGATGTTGTGGCGGTTCGGTGTGAGAAAGAGTGTAAAAGGACTGGGTCCCGCTGTGTTGCTCAGGCTGCACCGCAGCGTCTATTCAGGGGGGCGATCCCGCTACTGAGCGGCACGGGGGCTTTGACCTGCTCCGTTTCCGACCTGGACCGGTGCACCCCTCCTTAGTACGACCTGCTGGTCCCGGGCTCCCCCGGGAGCACCATATCGGTACCGAACTTAGCGCGGACCCCCGATCGGCATAGTCCGCTGCGGCTCAGAGCTCCGGAGCTCAGACGGTCCTCCAGCCTCAGCCTCCCGGAAGCTTGGATTACAGGCGCGCGCCACCGCACCCGGCGAGGGAGCGGAGTCCTCACCTGAGTTTTAGCTTTCACAAAAAGTGATCTCATTTAAATTAACAGTGTCATCTAGTGGCAAATGCCAGTTAACGTTTATGTCGTTTTAATTTCCTACAGAGTCACAGCTATGAACGGAACACTGCCCAAAGAGGAAGGAGAATAATGTCCACAGCCAATGTTGTTCTTTCCAAGCACCGAGGAGTCCAATGTTAAAGTTTATTAGTTTACAGGATGTGACAATGATATTTACTTCAGGTTTTCTTTTCTTCGGCCCAAACACTTCAAATAAAACCAATCAATGAACTTTACTCATGCTTCGATCATGGTCCATACTGCTTATTCCTGCTAGGGTGGCATGATTTTACTCTAAAATTACATTGATTTTCTACTACTGGAATTTAAATTGCACTTACACAACAATCCACAATTTAGGACTCCTGGCTCTGACTGAATGAATCATTTGTATCCATAAAATAATAACACATAACACACATATATTTACCTCTCACTTTTAAATTTTTTTGGTATACTTGGTATAACATTCCCCACAGAAATGTTGAGTACTGTAAAATGCTCTCTCAAAATCAGTGTTTCCAATGTCTACTCTAAAGTGTTTTGGACACAATGAATTCTGATAAAGCCATACCTCACCTCAGCAAACACAGAACAAAGCATAAAATAACAAACATGATATTCACATGACGATGATGGATCGAACAAGTTTGTCAGGAAAACAAAAATGCACTCTGCAACATTAAATACATGAAGTCTGATCATGTTTGAGTCTGACAAAATGGAATCAGAACTTATCCTTCAAACTTAATATGCAGCTGCTGGATTTTTCACACCAGCAAAAACATCAGATCCCATATTTCCAATTTATCCAAGATACTTTTTGACAGACAAAAAAAAGGGGGGGGGAAACATTTAAACATTTAATATGGTCCCGGAGGAATATCTGACATGTGCAAAACCACACAAATGGCCAACATTTCCATCTAACTTGACAGAGGATCAACTTCATATTTCATAGTTTCTGAACTTCTGCAGCATATGAGATGGAGAGTCAGCCGCCCAGCGGAAACGCCGGTGGCAGTATTCACCTGGAAACAAACAGAAAAAACTCAGCTCATTTCACAAGTTTTAATTAACAGATTGGAGATATATTAGATTGGACAGACTGGAAAATATTTTGACTGGCTCACCTGAGGACAGTACAGCATCACACACCGGGCTTTCTGATGCCTCCTGCTCGCCGTGATGCTCCACTGCTTGTGTAGGATCAGGGCCCTCTGGTTTGGAGGTCTCCAACATTGGCTCTTTCTTGGTTCTGACAGCCCAGTGCATTGACTGCAAATACATGATCAACAAGTCTTAATCATGCATCTTCCAGAGTACTTTGTGAAATGACAGTATAAATATGGACGCTACGCACAGTCTTGACAGAGTCATTCATGGCCTGCCAGTCATGAAACGGAATAGTAACGCCACTTCTTTTCCAAAGGTCATAGTTTTTCCTTTTGGCTTCATCGCATAAAACCTCTTTGGCTTCCTGCAGCTTCTGGAAATCTGAGACTAAAAAGGAAAGAACAAGTAAGTAAATGCTGTTTATAGAAATCCACTAAGACATTTCTGTGACATTGACTGTCATCAAAATGCTTCATGTGAATGCTTTGGGCTTTCGGAATCATTTTCACCTACCTGCTGTGGGGTTGTCCCGGTCTTTGTCTGGATGACACGCCAACGCTCTGATCTTGTATTCATTGATAATCTGCTCAGTCTAGGACATTTTTTCCAAATGAAGAAAACAAAACATATCTCCATTTAAAATACTGCAAGTATTCATAGTATTCATGTACAGTGAAAACAAGTATAATCTAAATATGGAACATAGTGATATCCAATTTTTTTTTTTTATGGATCATTATAATAGCCACCAGTTTATTGGAGGCCTTGAGCTGTGTTTGCTTCTAGATATTTTTCTCACTGTTATCTTAACACGTTTTGTACTGGTTGTTATTTAAAATAAGGAAATAGCACGCTTAATGCGACCAGATTTCCTCCATTTCGGACACTTTATGACCTGAAAAATCTGCGTTTTAACTGAATCCACATGAATGCGCAACAGCACCACCGACACAGACAGCGCTGACGCACGACTAGCTGGAGGTCCTGGTCAGATGTCAACAGGTCTCCATCGGTTTAGACAGCAACTCACGAAGCCTCACGATCAACAGGCTGCTTGTTCACGTTGCCATGTAATCGATGCCCCCCCATTATTTAATGTTATTTAAGAGTTATCGACTCTTTGTGTGACTTGTTTTAGATTATCTAGCGTCTTCTAGCAGATCGTCAAAGCCCGGAGTCTACAGGTCAGAACTTACCGATGACAGTTCATCACATCCTAATAATCCGTAGTAATCTTCCAAATCTTCTGATTTATAGCTCAACACGGCATCCATGAGCTCTGTCAGAAAAGCGTGTGCAAGTTGATCTTAACGGAGCGACGAGATGCTACAATTTCAGGTCACAGTTCACGATATCCTTGGGGCTGCTAATGCGGTTGATTTAAATGTTTACTCCCTTTTCAGATAGGTTGACTTCAGATGGATAGGTTGTCAATTGTTGACCATACAGAATGGATCTCTTTTAAGTTGAGAGAATCTAGCAGTCCCTCTTTGGAGCATGTGACGTGTGCTACATTCGCGGGTCTTGGTAAAAATCATTGTCAGTGCAAAACGTGTTTAAACTAGAGGCGCTGAGAGAAAATCGACAACATAAATATAATCACCGAAAAACAGTGAATAAATGTATGACTAATCCGAGTCCTTGTGAATGTACGTTTGGCGGCTTGATATTTTAAGGTATTGTAAATACAAGAAGTTGATGTAATATTTAGAAGAAAAATGTTGTTTCTGCAAAATAATTCCATGTGCCGCTATGAATATGTTTTCACGTTATACCTAAGTTTCCCAAATCTTAGTTTAAGTACCTTTTATCATTTTTTTATGAACCAAAATTTTAGTCCGATACATTTTGAATGCATCAATAATGTGTTATGGTTGTGTATGTCATCAACGTAAAAGGGAGACGTTCCACTCGTGCCTATTGGTTTAGAACAAGTCACGTGTTCTATGCAAATGAGCCAGCTGTCCGAGGGGAAGGATCTCTGCTGAGCGACTCTGTGGGTTGAAGATGGCGGACGGAGAAAACAGTCAAGGAATGGCCTTCTCTGGCGCCTCCGACATGGACGAACCTGCCGCCAAAAAGTCGAAATTCAGTCCATTGAAAAAATATGGATTTACATCCACCGAAGGCGACCAGCTATCGTGCGTCTCTGCGGGCACAGAGAGCTGGGGGGCCGCGGTCAATTATGCGGAGCCAGCGGAGAAGGAAGCAAAGCCGGCGATGGCGGTAGAGGAGGCCGCAGCGGCGCGAGGCGGAGACAACAATGGATTGGGGCTTTTGGTCTCTGAGCCGCACATACCTCTCGGGAAACTGAACGACAGTCCTGTCTTTGGGGAAACTGAGGAGAGCGCAGGTATTAAGAGTTGGTCATTGAATAATGAATGCAGAGCACTTGCAGTGGAGGCAGTGTTAGCTTCACTAACCGACCGGCGTGCTAACCGCGAAGCAATATAACTTATTGAACAAGCTAAACGTAAACACAATTGTATACACGAGTGTATCTGGTTATATGCTTCTGTGTACGATACATTTTCTATGGAATTGTATTCTGTGGACGCAAAGAGAGAATGAAACCTGTCGCCGACACCGTCCTTAAGCGTTTGACTACAGAACTTTGCACAGAACTTGGGGAAACTTAGCCTTAGTTAGTTCGTGCCACCTCCCACTATGTGCTCTATCACACCATGTAGAGCAGACACTGTGGGGTTTTTTGTTGGATTACTTTTCAGTAAACGCTTCATGTAACTTTTTTCGGATACTGTAGTCGTTCTCCAAATTTGCCTAGCATGTGGAATTACGCATTTTGCTGGCTGAGAAGTGGAGCCTAACAGGCACAGTATCGATTTAGCAGAATCTGAACTTCTAAACATTTTTTCGGACATTTTAGTTTTTGATTTTTTAGTCTGATTTTTATGATTGTGCTTTAGTATTGCTGACCATATTGTTCAAAAACTGTTCCAATGTAAAAGCGATGGACAATCACGCTAAGGTCACTGAATCAGTTTCTGAGCATCTAAACTTCCATTTGAGATTGTTATTGCTATGATCATTTGTCTCTTGTCTTTTTTTTAATTTCCATATAATAATGTCTCTTTTCCTAGATTTCCATGGGCACGAGGATCTCACTTCCAATGGCCTTGCTGTCACACCAGAACACTTAACTGAGGAAGATGACAGATCCTCACATGCAAGCTCCAGTGACTGGACCCCCCAACCCCAGATAGGTAACTAGAGGAATGGTGCTGGTGGTTTGCCACCGTTTGTATTCAGTACTTGTGATTAATCGCAATGGAATGTATTTGGTAAGGGCTGAGATGTTGTGTTCAGGTTCCTACAGTGTCATCCAACAACACATCAGAGAGACTGATCCAAGGGCCATTTTGAGGGATTTGCTCCCTGAGACGATACTCCCTCCAGATTTAGATGACATGACATTGTGGCAGATCATCATCAACATCTCGGAACCTCCAAAAAGAAAGAAGCGGAAGGATGTTAATACCTTAGAAGATGTGGTCAGGCTATTGCTTGAAAGCAAGAAGATCCTTGTGCTGACGGGTGCAGGGGTATGCTTCTGTTCTGTATTCCAGTTGGAATATTCAAAATAATAGGGCTTGATTTAATCTTGTAGAGCTTTATTGTATTTACGATGTTTCTTTGTTTGGTCTTTTTCTGCTTGTATCTTAGGTTTCGGTTTCATGTGGAATCCCTGACTTTCGCTCCAGAGATGGAATTTATGCTCGACTGGCTGTAGATTTTCCAGACCTTCCCGATCCTCAGTCCATGTTTGACATTGAATACTTCAGACGGGACCCCAGACCCTTTTTCAAGTTCGCTAAGGTCTGTTGTGTCTTTGAGTTAAATGCACACCTTTTCCACAATAGTGACATTGTGCACTTTGATTTGTGCATTGACTTTGTTATTGTTCAGGATTTTGTTTGTTTTGGAAAGAGGGAAATAAAAAAAATAGTATAGTATTAAAATTTCAGTAGTATTGAAATTGTGCTGTGACCAACCTTTTTAGACAAGTCATGACTACTCTCTAGTTAAACTTTATAACAAGCCTTTTAGGCTCTAGTTTTTTATATTAAGCATCATGGGATGTTTAATTGACATTGTTCTAACAATAAATAAATGGTTAGGCTTTCAAGAGAAAGCAACAACACTGTAAGGGATAAGGGATGTTTTCAGCATATGTGTTTATTTTGGTATTTTCAGGGATGCTAAGTCTATCCTCTTTATTACAGGAAATCTACCCTGGCCAGTTCCAGCCTTCACCTTGTCACAGGTTTATATCTTTGTTGGATAAGAAAGGAAAGCTTCTACGGAATTACACACAAAACATCGACACATTAGAACAGGTAGCAGGAGTTCAACGGATTATCCAGTGTCATGGTAAGAGATGCATCTAATGTTAGAGATATATCTATGTTTAGTTCTGTCGCATTGGTGGTGCAGATTTATACTTTTCCCCCTTCATTTCAGGGTCGTTTGCAACTGCGTCCTGTCTAACTTGTAAACACAAGGTGGATTGTGAGGCTATAAGGGAAGACATTTTTAACCAGGTGTGTGTGTTTTATTGGGCCAATTCATTCACATTCAGGTGCCCATGCAAATACATTTTCATATTATCTTTAGAATTCTTGTGAATAGGTAGGCAAACCCTGTATCAGTTTATATAATAACACAAATTCCAATATCAAATGATGGTTTTGTGCCAAGAGTTGGTATACAGCCAAGAATGCCTGCAGCTTATTTGTTCCACGCGCTGTTGTGATTTCCGTTAAATGGAATTTATCCCGCAGGTTGTGCCTCACTGTCCTCGGTGCCCTGATATTCCGCTCGCAATCATGAAACCTGACATCGTTTTTTTTGGGGAGAATCTTCCGGAAATGTTTCACAGAGCCATGAAGCAGGATAAAGATGAGGTGGACCTTTTGATTGTCATTGGCTCTTCGCTAAAAGTCAGACCAGTTGCCCTCATCCCAAGTATGTTTATTGACAAATGCATATATTTAAGTTTATTTAAGGATTTCTAATACGAGGTATTCACGAAACAAGTGTTTTTCCTGTGTGTGCTTCAAATCCAAACACGTGGTACATTGTGCTTCTGTCTTTCTTCATCCAGACTCCATTCCCCATGAAGTGCCTCAGGTCCTGATCAACAGGGAGCCCCTGCCCCATCTAAACTTTGACGTGGAGCTACTCGGGGACTGTGATGGCATTATCAACGAGCTATGTTATCGATTGGGTGGAGACTTTGAACAGCTCTGCTACAACTCTCGAAGACTCGCTGAGATCACAGAGAAACCCCCCCGGTTACTCGAACAGCCACCAAGTGAGGCCTTGTCCGCTTCCAGCAACGTGGCTCCAGAGCCACTGAAGCAGCACCGAACAGACTCAGTAAAGAGGCCTTCAGAGGCGGCGGGAGGCCCCAATGCCCCAGAGACAGCCGACAATAACCTTCCACCTCTCCAGCCCTGTCCAAATGCTCAGTGTCCAGGCGAGGAGGCAGCTGAGTCTCCCGCCGAGGACACCTCCAAAGAGGAGCAATCCGAGTTAAGGAGTCAAATCTCAAAAATAGAATTTCGTAAAAGATGCTGGATGAGTCGAATCAACAGAAGTCCAATCAGCAAACGCCTTGAGGGTGAGCTTTAGAGCATGCAGCATGAGCGTTTTTTTTCCCATTTTTTTTTTTCATAGGAAACAAAGGCATGCACTTTAACATGTGACAAATTTAGACAAAGCACACCTCAGTGCCGTAATTAACATACTTAGTCCACAGAGCACACATTTGTTTACCCTTCCCTGCAGTCAAATGAACAAACGACCACAACGGTGAACAGGCAGGCCGTAGATGCACAGGCTGATGGACTCTCTCTTGCTCTCTGCAGTGGGCCAGTACCTGTTCCAAGCACCAAATCGCTACATCTTCCACGGGGCCGAGGTCTATTCTGACTCTGAAGATGAGACGTCCAGCTCCTGCGGGAGCGACAGCGAGGAATCGGAATGTAGCGCCGACAGGGGAGAGGAGGAGAGCGAGGCCGAAGACGCCGGAGGAGCAGCGGCCGACGGAGACGCGTGCCTCAGAGACACATTACATGACAGTTCAGCCAGCGAGGCCGCGCCTAATGTGCAGACGGACAACACGCCCGAAAAGACACACAGCACCACGTCCCTTTAAGTGTAAAAAGTACCCAGCTGACAAAGCACTCATTTCTTTTTCAATTATGTATCTTTCTTATATTTTTTGACTCCTCATACTTTTTTTTTTTAAAGACTGACATGGTGTCACCACTTTGTGTGTATATGCAGCAGGTCTTTCCCATATTTTTCCTTTCTCAGCCCATTTTTGTCACTTCCAGCTGTCTGAAACACATACTCTGTTCTCTTTTTCTAAATAGAATGCAGCAGTTTTTTTTCTTTTCTTTTTCACCGTCTCGCTTCCAAATTTATCCTTCGATATTTATCAGTGCACACACGCGTTCAGATATTGAACAGATTCTTACATCTGTATTGAGCTTAAAATTCCTGAAGCGTTGTCATCACAAGGAAAAACAAACCAAATGTTTATCTTTTTCCTACTGACATGAGTTATGGTCCATTGTGTTTTTGATTTGGTTCCTGTCACTTACAGTAAAGACCAACACAAAAGCCCACAGTTTGTTTAACAGTTGGTACTGAGTTTCAGACATTTTCAATTCATTTACTTGAACGTATTGTCTAACCTGTAATGTATAAAGTTTCTTTTTTTTATGGAGTAAATGTTGGCAAAGGTAACAAACAGTACAATTTCCTTTTTTAGACCAAAGAACTCTTTATCTAAATGCTCCCATGTTGTCACGAGCTTTGTATGTTTTACTTGTCATCTAAATCTTCAGAAAAAAATATAACTGACAAGGTGTTCCTCCTGACATGTGGCAGCTACTTTTATGCTCAAGCCTGTTTATTTTTATACACAGATGTGAGACATGCTCAGCAAAGAGTAGGTGATTGTTTTTATCTGTACAAAGTTGTTCCGGAAACGTTATCAGGAGAGGGGCTTGGGTTGTGTTAACTCCTGGGAATATATTCACGTTGAAATAGCACTTTTATTTCTCCTTAGGAAACCGGATTTGTTGCCTGTGTTACTTTTGACACAGCATAAAGGAATCTGATGCCTGTAAACTGTTGGTCTGGAGGCAGAGTTGATCCACTGCTGTTGACAATGTTGGAGTCAACTGCTCTCACTTTGTTTTTAAGATGATGTTTTTTGTTTTGTTTTTTATATGAAAAAGCCATTATGGCTGCCTTCTCTGTTGGAGTTCTGAGTAAAAAAAACAAAAAGAAAAAACATGCATTGACCACTTATTTCTTATGACGAACACGTCCGTCACGATGATGCACAAGTAAAACTGCTGCCTCTGGCACCTGAACATAGCATGTTGGCTCCGAAATCCGGAAAACACATGGCATAATTTGGCACCGGAGACATTCACACATTTTTCACCTTAAAAGCGATTTTATCTGATATTAGTTTGAGTACTAAATTTAATACAGTAAGGAGTCAGCTTTCGTCAACGGCTCAAAGTGACGGTCTGTAGTCTGCGCATGCGTGGTAAGGAATCACCTTAAAATGTGAAATTGTTCCTTTAGAAATATGGATATTTAGTATTTGACTTACTTTTTTGTGACGGTCGCAAAAAAAATCAAATTCCCTTTAAGTCCAAATTATTTAAACCACATTTCCCAGCATCCTCTGCGCTGTCCCGCGATACGACGTGTCGTAAAACACGCTTAATGGCTCACCCTGGATGTGCACCATCGTAAAGGACTGACCGATTTTGACTTTATTCCTGTTTTGCCTTTTTTCCAGCTGAAATGTCTGTTTAGTAGTGCTGAGCTCTGGCCTGCGGGACTCACTGTGAAAATGGAGGCCATGGAGGATGAAAGTTTGGACGTTAAGGACGACCACAATCACAACTATTATGGGAGTGCCAACAGTAAAGTCCGCACGGTTCTTAGCTCCCAGCTGTCGGATGTAACGACGGTCCCGCAGTCCGTTTGCCCCGCGGTGCCGGGGGGAGAGCCGGGTCCGCGGCCGGGGAGGCTGCGGTCCAGTAGTACGGGTGCTCCAAAGTTTCTGGACTCGGACACGGGCAGCGAGAGCAGCGAAGTGAGCGAGACCGACTGCACGGCTGTGCCAGCTAATGTGGAGGGTAAATTCACCCTGGATTCCTCCTCCAAGTTCCGTAAGTGGACCTAAAGCGGGCACTGTTACGGTCAGGCCCGGAATCCGAGCACTACTTTCTTCTTTTGCTTTTTGCATGCAGACCACCGCTGTTGGCACTGTTTTTTGGGGACTGGTTTTAGACCTGACCATCCCCTGTTGTGTGTCCTCTTAGTTCTGAACGCCATGGCTGTAGAGGACTACAGGAAAAACCACTGGCCCAACCTGGAGAAGGCAATAGACCGCCTGCTCATCCAGAACTCCACGGATCACATCTCGGTGTCCTACGCGCAGATATACGGGTGAGAGGCGCGGGACCACAAACTGCCACGCGCCCGAACCGAACCGAGCCGAGCCGAGCCAGGCCAGTGCCCGATTGTCGTGTATCCTTCTCAAAGTGTGTAACATTTCAGCCTTTTGATTTCATTCTCAGATACATCTACAAATGCGTGTGCCAGCAGCACTCTGAGCTGCTCTACAGTGATCTGACAGCCAAGATAACTAACCACTTGTGGCAGGTTTCCTCACAGCTACTGGTAAGAGAAGTCCAACGTGCACGGGAGTTGTCATAAGGAAAAAATAACAAGGATAACTATTTTATTTTCTTTCTAATTTGCAGGCCAGCCCACCCGAGAACCTGATCGAGAACTTCAACACGGTTCTGACCCAGTACACGGCCGCCCTCCAGTGCATAGTCCCCGTCTTTATATACTTGGTACTGGTCTAATCCTCTCTAAGACCATAAATGATGCATCTGGCAAATGTACTCGTGGCTGAACGTGGACCTGCGCGGGTACAAACGCTTTGTGTTGCACACGTCTCACAAAAGCTGCACGTTTTCCAGAACAAGTTCTACATCGAGTCGAAGCTGAACAGGGACTTAAAGGAGGATCTGATGAGGCTGTTTGCAGACCATGTGGCAGAGAAACATTTGGAGACGCTGATGCGTGAGTATACTGCTCTTCACCCATCATTTGTTTTTGTTTTTTTGTGAAAGTGCAACAAGTGTTTTGTCTCTGTTTCCTCCTCACTGTGTAGGCTGGGGAAGTGAACAGTGTGCAGGTCATTCCTGTATTTGATTAGTATTTGTTTTTCTGCATTGCCTGTTCTCTTTCAGCTCTTCTCATCAAAGCCCATTCCATGCCCTTTCAAGTGCAGCCGTCGACAATGGCCAGCGTGGTCAAAGGCCTCTACAGCCTACGTCCTGGTGAGTTTATTTATTTATTTATTTTTTAAATAGGTATTTTCCCTGATTCCCTGACTCCTAAAACGGTCAACTGGTTTGCTCATGCCTGTCAGAGTGGGCCCAGCTCGCCCCGGCCCTTTTTTCCGCCTTTATTCCGCAAATCAACCCCCCCGCCGTGGAGTCCCAGCTGCCAGATTACGCCGCTCATGACCAGAAGCTGCAGATGGAGCTCTCCATGAACGGCTTCCCACGGTCAGTTTTGCAAAAACATTTTTTTTAAAAAGATGAATAAATAAATAAAACATGTTTGGGGTTGTCTTCTGGCTCTCTGTTGATGCCCCCCCCCCCCCCAATGCGCTTGTTTTCCAGAGGCGACCAGTCGCGCAAACGGGCCAGCGAGGACTCCTGATGGCGGCGGCGGCGGCGGCGTGGAACTGTTACTGTGCCTCCTACTCGGTTCTCACAAGCCGTCTCCCCGCAGTAGCTCCAGATATTAACCACACGTCAGCTTCACCTCTTCTCCACTCAAGGCCACAAAACACTGTGAACAATGAAGAGGCCGTCGGACAGAAGGCTGAATCTGAAGCGCTCTCTCTGGGCAGCACACGGACTCCCCCCCCCCCCCCCCCCCCCCCCTGTCAGGTCCGACTGCGACCCTCCGGGATGGAACCCCTCACACGCCGAGCTCACAGCCTTAACCATCAGACGTCCTGAGGAGGGACAGGCCGACGCCCCGTGTTTCATTCCTAACCCTGACCCTGGAAGTGTGTCTTTGTTGTTGTCGTTTTAAAGATGGGGCTAATCCAGACTTCTAACTGCTGCTAACGGTACTACCCACGCGTTAATGCTGCAAACGGCTCGGTACTGGTGTGTGGAACCCAGAGTTTACAGCCAACACAGGAGAGAGTGGACGAATAAGAGCGCCGAATAAGGCCTGGTCCCAGCCCCCCCCCCCCCCCCCCCCCCCCCCCTCAGGCCTGTGCCTTCATTTTGCAGGGATAAGGGCGCTGCTCAGCCATCCAATTGGCCTTTTTTTGCTGCCCTCACGGACGGGGCAGCCAAGCTAACTCATCAATGCCAAAAAAAA